GAAAATACAAAATGCTTTGGGTGAATGAATGTGACATGGTTGAAGATTAGTCTGCATTCTGCAGCTTTCTGTGATATCAGTATTGCAAATGCCAGTATTGGAGTATGATTGACAAATGCTACTGAGTGAAACTCCCTTGCATAAAAATTTAATTGACTTAAATGTGGTGAAGTAGTAGCTCAGTTTGATGGATTTTGTTGGACGGTAGGTATGTATGTAAATGCTTACTTCTAATGTTTGGTATTCTCCTTTTCTCTCCCTTTTTTTCCATCAGGATAAAGACCAGCGTAGTCTAGACATGGACACTGCAAAGTCCATGCTGGCGCTGCTGCTTGGAAGAACATGGCCCCTGTTTCCTGTGTTTCACCAGTTTTTGGAGGTTGGCCTGTTTATTCTTTGTATGAGATTAAAATGGTTATGGATAATGCTGAGTGAAACACCGATCAGGCATAACATTATGACCTTGTTTCTATACTCATTGTTCATTTTATCAGCTCCACTTACTATATAGGTGCACTTTGTAGTTCTACAGTTACAGACTGTAGTCCATCTGTTTCTCTGCATACTTTGTTAGCCCCCTTTTACCCTGTTCTTCAGTGGTCAGGACCCCCATGGACTCTCACAGAGCAGGTACTATTTGGGTGGTGGGTCCTTCTCAGCACTGCAGTAACACTGTGGTGGTGGTGGTGTGTTAGTGTGTGTTGTGCTGGTCTGAGTGGATCAGACACAGCAGCACTGCTGGAGTTTTTAAACACCACAGTGCCACTGCTGGACTGAGAATAGTCCACCAACCAAAAACATCCAGCCAACAGCTTCCTGTGGGCAGCGTCCTGTGACCACTGATGAAGGACTAGAGGATGACCAACACAAACTGTGCAGCAGCAGATGAGCTATCGGCTCTGACTTTACATCTACAAGGTGGACTGACAAGGTAGGGGTGTCTAATAGAGTGGACAGTGAGTGGACACATCACCACCACCTCAGTGTTACTGCAGTGCTGAGAATGATCCACCACCCAAATAGTACCTGCGGGTCCATGGGGTCCTGACCACTGAAGAACAGGGTAAAAGGGGGCTAACAAAGTATGCAGAGAAACAGATGGACTACAGTCTGTAACTGTAGAACTACAAAGTGCACCTATATAATAAGTGGAGCTGATAAAACGGACAATGAGCGTAGAAACAAGGAGGTGGTCATAATGTTATGCCTGATCGGTGTACGTCCAGGTGTACAGTGTTACTTATCCTGTGATACATCTGAAAAATGTTGATTTTGAATTTTATTAATGCTGCCCAGCGTTAGCTCTGTCTGTTAATGTACTGTGTGGAGTGTATGTCATTGCCCCTTTTCTCTTCTTTTTCTCCCCTTTAGCAATCCAAGTATAAGGTCATGAACAAGGACCAGTGGTACAACGTCTTAGAGTTTAGTCGCACTGTAAATCCAGACCTCAGTAATTACGATGAGGACGGAGCCTGTAAGTCTCATATTTCTGTCTTTCCGGGCAGTTAGTCACTTATCTGTGTGCATGATTCACTGCTTCTTTTTGTAGCCTCATGCCTGGTCATCCATCACCAGTGGTTCCTAATCCTGGTTCTGGAGGACCCATTGACCTGCTTTGGTGTTTCCCTGCTCTAACAAACCTAATTCAACTGATCAGCCAACTAACAAACAATTCCTGAGTTGAATCAGGTGTGCGCAGGGAAAATGATGACAATAACAAATGACATAACTAAACAATAACAAACCACGCATATCGTCGCTGTCCAAAGAAAAACAAGTATCTCAAAAATAGTAACTTTATAGGAGAAGGCAAAAACACTCTTACCTTTCAAAGACTGTTTACATGCAAAGGTTTTTGCCAATCCGATTGAATACATTCCGATTACACATTAAGACTGAGGTGTTATATGCTCACTTTATTCAACAATCTGATGAAAATCTTCGTTTCCATGCTCACTACAAGTAATCCGATCCAATTAGTGTAGACGTTACCATGACAGCGAACATCGCGTGAGTCCAGTCAGAGTGAGATGAGCAGCAGTGAGCTGCGCTTGTGTTTTTAATTGCTTTAAAATGATGTCAGACTCAGGAAAACGTCCTTCACATGTCCTTATTAAAGAAGGCCGAGAGGAAGACGTCGTGTTCTGAGACACATAAGCTGGACGTCCGTCCCACCGCCGTCTTTTAAAGATCAGAGCATAAACTTCGTCTCCTCTGCAGACCAGTTTCTGCTCCGCCATGTTGAACGGTATAAACTTTCACTATGACGCGACGAACATGATCAGAATGGACTTAAACTTTCTGATAGGGAATGTAATCAGATACAGGCGTTTACACGGATATTATTCCTTACAGGATTACCCACCTCGTTCAGTCGGATAGAACGAATTGTATTCCGAATGGCCTCAATCGGACTAGTCTGTTCCGACTGAGGTGTTTACATGGACGTATTCTATTATGATTGAGCTATTAGTCGGATTATTAATGGATTATTAGGCTGCATGTAAACGTGACTAATGTAAATTAATGTAAAGAGATTTTATTCCAGGTGATTTTAGAGCATTTCTATTGATTCATTCATGAAATGTTCACACAATGTAAAGGACAGCTGGTGTGTTGAAATGACAGAAAAATAAGAATCGACAAAAATGGAGATACATGGTTTTCTTCGGACAGCGTCGATATCTTTTTAAACAGTCCAAAATACTGGAATGTTGGAAGGTAAACGAGAAAACCTTGGAAATTATTTTCTTACTGTAGCAGAGAGCAATAGGAGAATTTTACACTATGTGTTGTCATCATAGAACTGCCATCTATTCACTGCTGATTCATAGAGATGTAAATTTAATGCATAATTCTTTAAAATTGAGTTTTATTAAGTTTAAATGAGTAATGGTGACAGCCCTGCATGTAAAAGCTGTTGCTTGGTGCTGCTCCTTTGTCTTCCTTTAAGTATGTTTCCCTGCTATACCTCCGTGTCCTCTACCCTCCTCAGGGCCGGTGATGCTGGATGAATTTGTGGAATGGCAGAAAGCCAGACTGGCGTTATAGCAGAAGCTGATGATGTAAAGCAGAAGCTGGTGATGTATGTAAAATTCAAGAGCAAGAAAGAAGAAGCACATCAGTGGAAGCTCTCTCTCTCCACACTCAACAGTCCGGAACATCATGCTCCTTTCCGGGACTGCCGCCCTGTTCCCTGAGCCACTGGTGGACCCGTCACTACCCAGAGACTCTTATAGTGTTAATTTAACTATAAAAGGAAAACGTTGGAAAAGGGGAACTGTTTTTTCATATGTATCGCATCTGTTGCAGCAGTTACATTGCCAGTGTTGTATGATCTGGTGGAGGGAAGTCATCTGTTAATGTAATATTTTTTTCCCTTTCATTTTTTTGAGTTTTACCTTGTTTATAGTGTTTTCAAAAGAAATGAAATAAAGGAATTGTATGTAAATATCATTTTCTCTTGACGACTGGTTTTTAAAAAGCATTTCAGATTAGTGTTGTAGTACTCGAGTCCGGTCTCTGTCTCGTCTCTGTCTCATCACTCGGACTCGGCCGTGTCTCGGTCTCAGGGTAAGGTCGACTCTGTCTGAGATAACTGTAAACAGAACTTGTTTTCTGTTGTTATTGTATGTCAACAAAACCGGCAAATGGAATAAAACAGTCTGACTATGGCATCCCCTGGCATCGCCGGTGATTGAACTTGTGATGCTGGGGCCAACGATTAGACCAGATATCAAATATGGACATTGAATCCAGTTTCCAGTGCTGTATTTTGCTTTCACTCAAGTTAAGTGAACTGCTGATGTATCTGATTGGTCACTTAGTGTCACACCGACCAATGATCTGCAAAATCTAGGACAGTAAATTGGATTCAACGTCTGGATTTAAAGACCAGATGGCTGCTCCACTCAGGAGCCCGAAAAGATACTTGGTCTTTTCAAGTTACCATTACATTTTCCTTTTATATAGCAGATGAGCAACAGAAAACAATCCATTTTAAGCATTTAATTCCAGACAGATTTCAGCATCTTTATTATATATTCAGCTGTTTAATTATTTCATTGTAGGCCACTTTAGAGAATATTTAGAGAGATAGATTTAAATATGCTAACAACTAGCAGCGTACATATATTTCAACTGTGAAAGCGTTTACTGTCACCAATAATGTCATTAATCTGTTAAACTGAGTTCTTAAGGAGCGCTAATTGGGGGATAATATGCTTCCGTAACTGGTTAGCCACATTAGCTCCAGCGAAAAACAAAGAAGTAAACTTCCAGAACAGGAATCCAGGTGGTGATTTAGCTGGTCACCCCAGCATGGACCAGCATACCAGCTTCAAAACATAACGTGCTGGTTTTGGTGGTGATCAGCTTATCAGCTTTTATTGCTGCTGACCAGCAAACCAGCATCTAAAACACAACATGTGCTGATCTATGCTGGTTTTTCTAGCAGGGCTGATCAACTACACTTAGTGTAAGGGAGAAAACATTATTTATTCATTTATTTATTATTTAATTTTGAACTGTCGCTTAAAAAGATCTTAAAACTTGACTTCAGACAAAAGTACAGACGAAATACGAAATTCGGACTTCAACATGGCTGCTGCTGTTTTTAGCTATGCTAATGTATTTTTGTCCACATTTAAACACATCATTACAGATTACTTAAAGGGTCTGTATTATACTAAACTGAATTTTCCTGATGTTTTTAAATATAGGATATATAATCCTATATTTAGTATAATATGTATAATATAATATAGAATTTGATGTGGTAGATAAACACCTTTAAAAGCATATTATTCACTCCCCAGTCCATACAGTCTATATATGAAAAACGTGATGTCACAGAAACACATTTACATAATCCACCTAGTCAGCCTACAGCAGTTTAGCCCCAGCCATTCAGTGTTTGAGCCTGGACTGCTTTTTGAATCAAACACAGTACAGGGCAGCCTATCAGAACAGAGCTCATTTACATATATCAGTTTTAAAGGCACAGTAACAAAACCAGTCTGTTTAATGATAATGGATAAATGGATTATGACTGCATGAATGATTATGAATGAAAAGAATGAAATACAAGAAGAATGTAGGATATGGGCCCTTTAAAACCTCCACAAGTCTTAAAGTGAGTGTGTGACCATACAGTCATGGATTTTGCTCAATGCTAATTGGTGTACATAAGCTTCCATTACTTGTTAGCTACGTTAGCCTCGTAGCTCCAGTGCAAAACTAAAGAATCAAACTTCAGACACCAAACATCAGTTGATTAATTATATTCAGGAGAAAAATTGCATAAATTAGATTTTTCTCTACTCCGTTAAGGTCTCGGTCTGAGGCGGATTATCTGGTTCGGCTGAGCTGCTGTCTGTTGATTTTCTGGATGCAGAGAAGTCAGGAGTTTCAGCCTGGCTCATAATGGCACTGAGCCTGGTCAGAGACATCACTCTGTGTCTGGGCCCGGGCAGGCACTCCTCCACCACCACCTCCGGCTCTGTAACGTGGTCGTATCTCTTCCCCTCTTCATCGTAGTTGTACACTTTAATGACTCTGCTCCTCCGTTTGGGTTGTATACAGGTTTCCTCTCCTTCCTGCCTGTCTTGTGCTCCATCTGCTCCATCTGTTCCGTCTTTAGTCTCATCAGCTTCTTCCACGTGAACACTATCATCCTTTTTCTTTGACCAGAACCATTTTTTGGGAGACTTAACAGGTGGAGAAGTCTTGGGTGCACCAGAATCTTCAAACAGTGAGGGTGTTGTATTGGAGGTCATTGTGAATAAGGCTATGTCACCTGGACCGTTCTGGCTTTCTCTTTTCTGGACTATCCTGGCCCTTGTTCTTTGCAGACACCTGATCACGTAGGGTCTGCTGAATGCGCCGAGTGTAAACGCAACCATGAAGGTGACCAACACTGATGGTACTACACCTGGGGCCAACTCGTACATCATGCTCGTTTCGGCCTCTCTGGTCATCCTCGGCCTTGTTCTTTCCACTACGTTCACTCTGTATGGAATGACCGTTGTCCCCCTGCTGTCCACGTGGTAGCAGTGGTAGAGCCCAGTGTGGCTTGACGTGGCCCTCAAGATCCTCAGCGTTCCATTTTTTATGTCAACTGGGTCGTTATTGCTAAACTTTCCTCCTCCGAATGATCCAAAGGGGGTCTGCCACCAGGTCACCAATCCTAGAGACCCAAGAGGAAAGCACAGTGCATGTGAACTGAATATTTAGCCCCATTGGAGTTATAAGGTTCTGCCTGTGATCTGTGCAGTTTTAAGATATTGGGCTTCAAAGATTTTGCAGAACTGATATGTGGGACACGTCTCTCTCATACATGACAGTAACAGACAACCTAAATTGATTTTAAATGTACAATATCAAAAGCCTATAAAATTTATAAATATTTTTTGGAAAAGGTCAAATGCAGATAGAACCTCCTAATCCTGAGAACTCACTTTCTGCTTGGAATTCTAAGGTTCTATCAGGCAAAACATGAGAAGACGTGACGATTTTCAAGGAACGCAAACAGTTCATACTCGTAATTTGTTTTTAACACATAAAATAAGTGCTGTAGCAGAGAGTCTACCTGTCTTAAAGTTAAATTGAATGCATTCTACGACATTTGTATTATTTATTTGTATTATTTTATTTTTTATAACATTTATTTCTTGTTTTAGGACAAATCATTGTTCTTATTGGAAAAAATTCCAGATTAAATATAAAGGTCAGTACTAAGCATTTTATCCTGTGCAGAGGTCAGTTTGTAAACTGTCCCAGCAGGTCAGTGTAGCAGGTCAGTCTAAAAGCAGTGTGAGGTTTTGTTTCATATCAGAAATGTTGACTCTAATCCAGAATGTCTTATTTTTGGAGAAAGAAGAAAAAGAAAAGATGAATGAATGAAATTAATGTTTATGTTGTAATTAAGACCCCATTCATTCAAATATTTACTATTCAATCACATTTAAGGCTTAACATTCATAAAATTTTATATACTGAAACATTTTAAGGAACTACAAGAAGACAGGCAGAGTTTCAGCAACATGTTTTCTTGTTTCATAAAGTTTTACAAACTTTTCCCGCATTACTGAGCAGAGCGGCGACATGACAAAAGAGCAGAGCCTGATTGGTCCTCTTGTATGTGTTAGAAGTGCTGATTGGCTCGCAGATAGAACCTTACAGAGCTAAGTGAGAGTCCAAAAATGCACACAACTTATAAAACACCTCAAATAACTTTAAGAAGTTGTCACAGAATATGTGAAAAAAAAATTGAGAAAAATGTCAGACAGAACCTTAAAATTCCAAGAGGATGATTTGTATAGAAAAATAGTTTAAAGGAATGACAATTTTCCTCTTACTCCAAGTGTCCATAAGGGGGGTGGCTAGTTGTTAAATGGGAATTCCAACCTTTTTTCTAAACTTTCTAGATAATTCAGTTGTTGAGATGATGTGAAATGGTTCATTGTAATGAAACTTGTCGACTGATTTTGTTACAGTGGTGCTGATAGAAACCAGGGGTCAGTGGATCAGACACAGCAGTGCTGCTGGAGTTTTTAAACACCTCAGTGTCACTGCTGGACTGAGAATAGTCCACCAACCAGAAATATCCAGCCAACAGCGTTCTGTGACCACTGATGAAGGAATAGAGGATGACCAACACAGACTGTGCTGTGTCTCGTACCAGTGCAACACACACTAACACACCACCACCACGTCAGTGTTACTGCAGTGCTGAGAATGATCCACCACCCAGATAGTACCTGCTCTGTGAGGGTCCATGGGGGTCCTGACCACTGAAGAACAGGGTAAAAGGGGGCTAACAAAGTATGCAGAGAAACAGATGGACTACAGTCTGTAACTGTAGAACTACAAAGTGCACCTATATAGTAAGTGGAGCTGATAAAATGGACAATGAGCATAGAAACAAGGAGGTGGTCATAATGTTATGCCTGATCTGTATAAGCCACCAATACTATGTTAGCTATATTAGCCTCTTAGCTTCAGGTCAAAACTAAAGAAGCAAACTTCAGACACCAAACATGTTCTGGTGGATGAAATACGTTTGGAGTAATGTGGAAACTCTGTAAGATGGAAGTGAATGCAGTACAGCTCGTTTACCTTCGCCAGTCTTGCTCGGACATTCTAGATCTGTAGTTTCTCCCACAAGAACATCAACAATAGTTTTAGGTTTGACTCGTAATGAGCTTTTTTCATCCATGACGATGTCCAGACTCAGTCTGAAGTTTCGTTCATTGAGATCGTTGTGCACTGCACCGGCAGATCCATCAGAAGTGTGAATGCAGTGTGTGATCCAAAGCAGAAGCAGACTCAAAGACACAGTCTTCAGATTCATCATTTCTGGATGAAGATGAAGTGCAATAAATTCAGGTATGCATTTTGGTTAAAATACATACAAGTTTAATATATGCCTGGTACTCTGAAATGCTTAATAATAGAATATATTCTTTCTTTAAATAAAAGATTGTGATTCAGAATATAAACAATGTCAAAGTTCAGTGACCCTTATTAGCCCTACAACGGGGAAATTTCACCTCCACATTTGACCCATCCATGCAGTGAAACACCACATACACACTAGTGAACACACACACTGAGGGCAGTGAGCACACTTCCCCGGAGCGGTGGGCAGCCCTATCCACAGCGCCCGGGGAGCAGTTGGAGGTTAGGTGTCTTGCTCAAGGGCACTTCAGTCATGTACTGTCGGCTGAGGGGATCAAACCGGCGACCTTCCGATCACAAGGCTGGTTCCCTAACCTCCAGTCCAAATATAAATATTTAAAGTTTCAATATATACCATTCCAGTCTATAAAGCATCTATAAAGTCCATATATGGAAACTAAGCAGCAAAAACAGCCTGTTTTGAATTGTGATGAAACAAAAGCCAATGCATTTACATACATTGAACTAATTTAGCTCTGCCCAAGTTATAAGGAGCATTTCAGTCCAGACTGCTTTGTATGGAGCAGCCAATCAGAACAGGGGTCATTTACATATATTAGTCTTAAAGGTACAATAACAGCCTGTTTAATTCTAAAAGGATAAAGAGAGGTTGGAAAATGTTCATGTAAAAAAAGACTGTTTTTGGTACATAAAACCACACAGATGTTATAAGTGGTTCTCTAAGGAAAGACACTATATAAGATATGGGCCTTTTAATATGTTTATGATTAGCCTCAGTCAGAAGCAGTAATGCTGTACACTTAAGATAAAGGCTCATGTGATCATCTGTGCACAGTCATGAAACATTTGTGTAGAGCAAATTTGGGCCTGCCAGAAAAAATCCATGAGCCCATGAACTTATTTTCATACCTTTTATAATTTATTGCATTCTTTATTTTCCTTTAATTTGGATCTGAAGTATTAGTAGCGAAAATATAATGTTCTAAAATACGTTTTTAGAAACCTGATGTGAGACCTACCTCCTTTATTTGTATATTGTTTCGTCTTTTTGGCCCTCGGCCCACCACAGACACCGCACTTTGGCCCCCCCAGGACAGAAAATTTGGGCACCCCTGGTGCAGAAAGTCCTCTCTGCTTCCTCAGTGTGGTCAGATAAACACAGCTCACAAACACAGTCCAGTTTCTGAATAAAGTTTCAGTGCTGTTCCATCTAAAAGAGGAGTAAAGTACAGACCTCACATGACACATTATCCCACCTCGTGTCTCATGTTTAAAGATTAACGTTCTTCCCATCAAAAGAGAAACGCATCGGACGGTTCACCTGTGTCTGACCAGCCGCTACAAACATGAAAACTGATCTTTAATGCAATATTGATTTGCTGCCAGAGCACTTTAGTATTTATGTTCACACTTACAATGATGTTCTTCAAGGGTTCTTTAGTAAAGAAAATGGTTCTATATAGAACTATGAACTCCCAAAGGACTGTTTGCATGATTAAAATGTTCTTTGCATGGTGAAAGGTTCTTCAGACTGACCCTTTTTGAAAAGGGTTCTATATAGTGCCAAAAAAGGGTTCTTCTATTCTGACAATGGCAAGCTTTTAACCATAGAGGAACCCTTTTCAAAAAGTTTCTATATAGAACCATCTACAGCACATTATCCATCAATCTGAAGAACCATTTAATTACGCAGAAGGTTCTTTGAGTGTTCATGGTTCTATATAGAGCCATTTTCTTCACTGAAGAATGCTTGAAGAACCATCTTTTTAAGAGTGTATATAGGCATGTATGAAAGTTGATATAATAACAATAATATAATATAATATAATATAATATAATATAATGTAATCTTAACATTAGTATTAATATAATCTTATTCTGTACTATATATATATATATATATATATATATATATATATATATTCTGGTGTATATATATATTCTTATATATATATATATATATATATATATATATATATATATATATATATATATATATATATATATATATATAATTCTACCTTATGTACTGTTAAGTTAAGTTCATTTTCAGCCAAACAGCTATTAAGTACAATTATTAATTTTTTGGGAGATATTTCTGAGGAGATTAGATATAAGATTGGATAAGGAAAGAGGAAGGAGAAAGTAAAAAAAAACAAAACAAAACAGGAGTTGGACATTTGAACTGGACATCTGAAATGTGGAATAATGTTTTATGGTGAATCTTAATATGTTTGAATTACGAGAGAAGCAGAAAATGCAACCAACTTCTAAGACTGAACTTTGAAGGTGTGGAAAAATGAGTTTCCTGAACTTAAAGCAAGTCTCCTGAAAAGAGTGGAAGCTGTAATAGAGGTAAAGAGTGGACACAATAAATACTGAAAATGTATGTTATATTTAGTTGTTGCAGCTTCTGTGTAATTTTGTATTAAACATGTTTTCTACCTTTTTTCCGGATGCAGAAAACTTGTACATAACGGCTGTTTTGACTGGAAATTAAATAAATGAAGGGCGGTCTCTGAATTTTACGCAGTATTGTGTATAATAATAATAGTGGTTTGTCAGACAAGTGAAATGAGTCCAAAAGCTTTATAAAAGCATAAACATATCCATATAAATATGCCTGTATGCATACACATATATATTTGACCCGAGTGCTAATTATTAATTCTGAGTGACGAATAGAAATAAAATATTCTGTATAAATGTCCCTGTAATGATGTTTGACTGGTGCTGTGACTCATGTTGCCACAAGGTGTCACCACTGAGTTGCTTACATGCTGAAAAGCGTTTTTCATTCTTTCCCCAACAAAACAGAGGTTCATTCTTGCCTTTGCGTGTTTTTCATGTTTTTTTTCATTATATATTATAATGACATCATTAATTAATTATGCCAGTCTTCATATGAATCTTTATCATTGTATTACGAGTTGTTTGATATCATCTCCTTCTCCGATCAGCACCGTAGCATCGTGCAGATCTTTCGCCGAATAAGAGTTGAAAACTCAGCAGTTTCAGTCAGAAAAGCTTTAAATTCCTCTGTGTTGTTTATGTGTAGTAAAACACGCGCATGCTCAGACCTCGCAGCCAGCGCTTCCCGCGTTATTTGTTATCCCACCCGTTTTTCGAAATAACCCCGCCCTCCTGCGCTGCGATTGGCTGGCAGTTCACATTGAGCAGCGTGTCGATTGGACAGTTGAGACGTCGTTCACGTTACCAGCGACAACAGAAATCAGCGGAGCTTACATAAACAAGAAAATGTTAGCATAACGAGCCGTATTTATTTATTTATTACACTTTATTAGATCATTACACAACTACAGAATCATTCTCCCGGTGTGTTACTGGCTCTATATGAGTAAACAACAGTGAACGAGTTTGAAATGTGTCTCTAGTGATAGTTTTTAATGGTTATTTGACCACAAATCTCATTTAATGCTAAACATATACAATCCAATGAAACAAATTAACATAAAGGGGGTCTGACCAACATGAAAAAGGTATACTTTTCCAGATTTTTAAAATGTAATTTAATTTAATTAATTTTTTTACGCTGGCTGGCTATGCAGACAGTCAGAAAGCTAATATTTTTTATTAGGAAGCCAAATATCAGGTCTGTATTTATTAACTTCTGTATCACGGTATTTGTGCAATGCATGATGGGTATTGTAGTGAAAGCACATAGAAGGAAGAAAACCAAAAAATATATATATATAGATGCAAAACTGTGTCAAACCAAACAATTCTGAGTGATGTAGCACTGCTATAATACTACACAACATGACGAATGACATTAACCGCTAGTTTTAGTTTTAGATCGTAATTAATTCCGTTAATATTTTTGAAAAACGTCCAATCGGCGTGCTACTACAAGTGATCGCCAATCGCAGCGTAGAAGGCGGCGCTTTCCGGAATACGGGTGGATTAACACAGCCCAACGCCAAGAAGGAGGAGGCTCGCATCGCAAGGAACCAAAGCAAACCCCAGCAGAGCAAAACTCCGCCATCGAGTCCCAGAGGAAGAGAGCAGAGGGAGGGAGGACACGTTACAGGTAGCTTAACGCAGAGTTTTTTGCTGCTCATGCTTTTAAAAGCCTCATTAGCTCAGGCTTCTGGTGTGCAAGCTGCTTCTTCTTTCACGCGAAGTGCTTGTAGAAAACGGGTGTGTTTTGTAAAACTTGTGCATGAACACTTGATTTAGACATATTTTTAAAATGTTTAACTTCTTGCTTTGCTATTTTTGCTTTAGATTGTCTTAAAATACTAGATAAACTACTTAAAGCAACAAAATCTGTGATGGCTGAAGTACCTGCAAACTCAAAGCAGCAGAGATGGGGCTTGTTCTGGTTAGTGTTCAGAGCAAAAAGTTGTTTTTTTGTGGTAGGTTTGCGTGACAAGATTGCTCAGCGACAGACACACCCATGTCACTGTGTTTCTGAGCTTATTTGGACATCCTGTGGGTTTCCTGTGTGGGATTTCTCCACTGTTGGGATCCCTTGTGTAAAAGCTGTGCTGTGATGGTTGAAACCTCTAGGCTGCTTGTATGAGTCAGCTGAGAGGCCTGGGCTCTCCTGACAGGTTGGACTCCACCACCGATACCTGCACAGGTGGCAAAACAGGTCCAGGCGTGTCTGTCATTAGTTTTCTGTACAAGCTGTCTTGCGCTGAGGATCAGGATGGAGTAATGAGTAAATAAGTCCAGTAAATCTGCACTAAGGCCGCACTTAAACCCTGTCTTGAAGCAGGGATGCATTCCTTCGTTATCCTATTTAGCACTTCAGGGCAAATTAGCTGCATCCTGTGGTCACCTGATGACAGGCGGCTGAGAAAAGTACCACAAAATATGCCATTTATGCAACTGCGTCTAATGTCTTGGCTTGCAGTGTAATTTAGCAACAGATGATTCACACTGAGAGCGGCTCCAGCGCCCTCCACTCACTTTTAGGCCCAGTCCCATTTCTCATTTTTACCCCTACCCCTTGTTTTCGAGTGTCACTTTGCCCCTTGGAACTGAGTTACAAGGGATGGTGGTTGAAATCGTCCACTACAAAATGGGACCCTCAAATAAAAAGAGCATTACTTCATTAACAGCTACCAGCGCTGCTCTGTAGGCGACCCTGCCAGTCTGCAGTGACAGCAGAGGAGGGTAAAGTTCAGCTCCTCACTGCTGGGATTTAGTTACATTTAGGGCATCATATGCCTTCAAAGAGGGGGGCATTTATTTATTATCGCCCACCCCTAATTCTTCAGTGATATGAAGCTGAAGTCAGATATTCACCAGCCTCTTGTTAGAATTTACCTGTTCCACCTTAAATGATGCAGCAGTTACATTCTGGCGCTTGAGGGGTCGGCGCTGCTGGACTATTTAAGGTGGAATGGGTAATTTAGCTAGCTAGCTACTGAGATATTAGCATACTACTAGTGATTTTTAATGCCTGTTATGAAAAAAAGGACCATAATACATTGAAACAACATTAAACTAAGATAATATAATGGTTATCATATTTTTTAATAGAGAAAATTCTCACATTTATGTGTTTCTTTGGTCTCTTGTTCAGCCATCTTGCCTATTTTTCTTTTTTTCTCATAACACTCTGGAGTCTCTGAAAAACCTCTGTTTGGAGGGTCATGTAGCCCCAACACTTCGCCCTACCCCTCTATCTCAACAAAAATCAGGACACCCTACCCCTAGACGTGACCATGCAAAACGGAGGGGTAAGGGCTAAGTGGTAGGGGCGAGGGGTGAAATGGGGTTGGGCCTTAGGCTGACTGTTTTGTCCTTGGTTGGAAAAACATCTTAACATCTCTGACTTTTGAGTAGGGCTGGGCAATGTGACAATATTTTTCTTTGTCATGATACATTATGTCACAGTAAGCTTTTCTGAGCATAACCTGGATATCGTCAGTACTCATAGATCACTGACCAGCTGCATGATTCATTATGAAGAGTCCTGTTTAATTGGATTTAGTCCAGCACTGTATGTGTAACGTTCAGTAAAAATCATTTGTTTATTTGTAAATGTGGCAGTATGGGTTCTTTTTTTGCCTGTTCCAATGTATCAGATGTCAGAAAAAAAATGTATATTGTGAAATTTTTTTTTATGTATCGTGATACTATTTTTGCTGTATCGCCCAACCACTTTGTTTGAGTTCAGTGTTTTTATAAATATAAAATGGATTAAATGTTGAACACACTGTGTACAAAATGGATGATGCCTTAAAGGAAAATGCCACCAATTTAAAAAAAAATCTGCATAATTAAATGGTGTAAATAAAGGCCGTAATTAAACGGCGAGGAAATAGTATCATGATGCCTCAGGAAATTCTGATGATACACAAAATATTTATATTTAATACACAAATATTTAGTTTTCTGACATCTGAAATGTGGGAACTGACAACTGAACACAGCTCTCTCTTTAATGAAACATGCAGTTCTAGAATTACCAACTACATCCATGATATTCTCACATATTGTGATGTAATTTTGCTCCCAATATTGCCCACCGGTACTGTAAACAGAGTCATTCAGAGTGGTTTGGTGTGAAATGCTCTGTCTAGAGAAACTTACAGAGTCAGAATTGTTTACAGTGGTGGTGATAGGAACCAGGAGTCCACCTGTAAAAGCTCCCTCACTGAAAGTTATTACACAGAGAGGTTATTAATAAGCTGGCTGATGCCTGAGGCCTTGTTTTATGAAAGTTTTCAGAGAAGATTTTGGTCTAAAACATATTTCTTAATATCTGTTCATGGTGGAGGGGTACATACAGGGCGTTATAAGGCAAAAAAAATCCCAAATAAACGCTTATTTTTTCAGTGTTAACTGATAAATTTTGCAGAAATTTAGAAAAATCTGTGAAATTTCTTATTAAGCTGATCATTTGTAGGAGTTTGCCTGTATGCATATAAAGTACGTCTGTTACCATTAGTTATATTAGTGATCACGTAATCAACAGATAACTCACAATTAACTGATCAATTACAGTTTAAAAGAAAAAGGCCAAATGATAAATTGGGCTTAACTGAACAATAAAAAACCATGCAGAACCTTTTAGAAATAATAAAATACCTTCCTGGGAAAGGATAAACAGAGAACACGCCAAAAATATTTAATTTGAAAATATTTAATGGTTTATAAATGCCTGTGTGTCCATCAGGAACTGTTGTTTACTGTAGCAGGTGAATGTATAATTTACATGATCATCATAGAAACTGGCAACTAATCACTATTGATTTGAACCAGTTCTTACTATTGAACGGACTAATTCAATTGAATTGAAACTGTTAATTATATTGTGTTATTGAAAAAGCACTTAACTTTCAGTGCAGTTGTCTGCAAAAGTTTGGTTTGATTTTGATTTTGTTGACTTTCTGAGTGTAAATAAGTGAACACATCCTGTACAGAGACACCATTTCTGCGCATTTTAATGCACAGTTATTGTTTATTTGCTGAATATTAACATCAGAGCCAGTGCTTCACCTGCTTTAACCCTTTTCTGTACTTTAATATTTTATACTAATGTTAAAACCGAATTCTCTGCTCATTTTGCTCTTCTGTTATTGTTTTAATATCCGGTGTCGACCAGAGAAGGATACGTTCCCCTTTTGAGTCTTGGTTCCTCTCAAGGTATCTTCCTCTTGCTCTTGGCGACGCTCATGGGGGCTCGGACCTGGATTTTTCTGTAAAGCTGCTTTGCGACGACGCCTGTTATAAAAAGCGCTATGTAAATAAACCTTGACTTGACTTGATATTGGAAAAATAATACGTAAAATGTGGCCTGTGCAAAAGTTATGGCACATTTTACAGTTTATGTTAAATTTTTTTTCCAATATTTTGAAGAAATAAATAGAAATTGTGCACTAAAATGAGCAGAAAATGTCATATTTAAGTGTGTTCTCTGTAGTGTCGACTTATTTTCACAAAATCCACAAAACGTGTCATTTGACAGGCTGTTTATTGCGTAACACTAGAGCCCTGGTTCTCTGGGAGTCTCTGTGGACAGTCCTCAGTAATCTCCCACACAACAGGACTGTTTGCTTTCCGAGGCCGGGAGCAGATCCCTGCCCTCTGTTCGGGTTCTGCAGGTTCACTTTGCTGATGGTTGTCAGGAGATGAATGATAACCAGAAGCCTGAACAAATAAAAAGAGGAGTGCTGCACTGAGCTACTGACCTGCTCGCAGTGTAGAAGATGCTGCTGGTCGTCATCTGACGTGGTTTAGTGGCGTTTAAAGGGCCCATGTTCAACTTTTTTTCTATTTTATTTGTTCCCTTTCGGTCCACTTATAACACTGTTATGATGTACCAAAAATGGTCGTATTTAATTTTTACTGACCATTTTCCCGCCTCTCTTTTACCCTTAGAATTAAACAGGCTGTTTTTGTTAACTGGGCCTGTAAGACTGATACATGTAAATGAGCTCTGTTCTGATTGGCTGCCTTGTATTGTGCCACATTCAGAAAGCACACAGAGATGAAACACTCCTTATAACTTCAGCGTGAAGGGGCGGAGCTTAAATCTTCTTGGCTCAGTAGGTCAGTATATGTAGATGAGTTGGCTCTTGTGACATCACCGAAACAATGAATTCCAATTGGGCTATTTTTTCAGTTTAATTTCCAATTATACAACAGTTAGTTCCGGCCCCGCAAGCTGATTGGTTGAGAAGGGTTGTAATCGTGCTGATATTTTCCCACAACATCACAGGTTTTTCACAAACACTGTATCACTCCGCTGAGACGCCGTTGCTAAGCAACAACTTTGACAGCTGTAGGAGACGCTCAAGACATTTGAGCGTTTTTACTTCTTACTTCGCCACAAACAGAAAATGGACACTTTTAAGATCACATTTGACCGACAGCCGATTTGGTCAGACTCTGAAGATGAGACGACACTAAATTCCCAAACTGTCATCACCACTGAGCAGCTTTTCAGTCGGCAGCTGTGACAGAAGCCAGAAATGAAACGAATGCCATTCGCCAAACGTGTAGTCTGATCTTCAGAGTCTGACCAAATCAGACTGAGCCATAAAACTGCCACAATAAAAAAACAAAAAAAGCTGCTCAGTTTTAATGACAGTTTGGGAATTTAGTGTAAGGAGCTGGAGAACGAACTGCCGGCTGAGCGGCGAGTGGGCGGAACTGTTGTATAAATCAATAGAACACTCGAGGAGTGTGTTATCACCAATAACATGAATCACAGCCGTGATGTTATTTCGCAATAACACACTCCCTCTCGTGTTCTATTGCTTAAATATGGGCTGAGGAGGAAGTGGTGTGTTTTGAAACTTTAACAGTGTTTACATATTACTTGAAACTACTTTATTAAAAAAAACAAAAGAACGAGGGAATTTGTTGATGATACAGGCCTTTTAAGAATGTGTCTCTGCCACAGGATATTGTGTGCATGTTGTTGGGCGGTTTGCGGAAGCGGCAGTGTCAGTGAGTCAGTGTCACGACTTCCCACATCATTAACATGACCTGCCGTTTTGTATGAGTGACAGTACAAAAGACCACAGTGCTACAGACTGAGCGCTGGATCTCTCCAACATGGGACTGCTTTTGTTTTTTCCTGATGCCACAAAAGTCGTTCTGATTCAGGGATGTGGATGTGGGGGTCCTGAGGGGGCTGTAGCACCTCCAGATTTTAGAACTTTAGCTGATGATGATGATGATGATAATAACCATAATAATAAAGAGTTCTGAACTGAAACACCGGTGTACTTGTTTTAGATTGGAGTTTATATATATATATATATTATATATATTTTAGATATAATTTAGATATAATTTTTCATGTTCTATTTGTATATTTTTGTTTTTCATATTCTGTTTATACAGTGCAATGCAAAGAGGGAAACTGTGTGCAGAGGTATAGGCCAGTTCTGAGCCTGAGTCTGTTATTGTATTAACTGTATTGTTTTTAAACTTAAAAACTATAAACTAAGGTAATGACTTTTTTTTCTGCTCAGAGCGCCTTCCAGTGTTAAATCTCACCGCGAGACATGCACCAAAAATGGTCATAATTAATTTTTACATGACCACTTTCTCGCCCCCTCTTTATCCCTTAGAATTAAACAGACTGTTTTTGTTACTGTGCCTTTAAGATATATGTAAATTAGCTTTGTTCTGATTGGCTGCCCTGTATTATGCCACATTCAGAAAATATTTGGAGCTCAAACGCTCCTTATAACTTCAGTTTGAATGGGCGGGGCTTAAATATTCTTGGCCCAGTAGGTCAGTATATGTAAATGAATTGGTTCTGGTGACATCTGTGCTGTAACGTAGTTGGTTATAGTCAAGGACATGCATTAGGGGACTGATGTGTCAGTTGTGTGTGTGTGTATTGTTGTCTTTTGCCTTATTATTGCATATTATGAGATGTTCTGTTTGATGAAATTATAGAGAAATATCTCATGAAAAGGGGCAAATCATTTTGCATGACATCACAAGAAATTTCATGTTGAAGTTTCCACATCACAAGTCATCACATCCTCTACAGTGAACACAGTCCCTCACGTTTTAATGCACAGTTACTGTTTATTTGCTGAGTTTACACATTAGAGAAAAAAAAATAAAGTATAAAATGTGCCATAACTTTTGCACAGGGCACATTTTATGTTTTATTTTCCCCCCAATATGTTAAATTCAGCAAATAAACAGTAATTATGCATTAAAATGTGCAGAAGTGTGTTTTATGTAGAGGATGTGTTCACTTATTTTCACTTAGAAAATCAATATCTGCTTGTATTAGCGTTACAGAGATATAGCATTTTATTAATTTTATAAATAGTGTTTTATTTCTGTAGACTTACAAATGCTGCATGAGGAAAAAGTAGATATTTCAGTGTAAAAGCCCTGCGTCTCCTATTTTTCACGTTTGCGCATTTGGAGTCCAAAATAACAATTTCTCAATTTGAAACGTCTTTCTAAAGCAAATATCTGCTGATATCAATATGATTCTTATTATTGTGTATCTCTCGTTTTTAATAATTTGCCTCAGTAATAATAGAGTTCAGTTGATGTGTAAGTTAATTAATATAACGGCTTTGAGCTTTGCTCAGCCAATCAGATTTTAGAACCAGAACTATCCATTCTGTTGGGAGTTTTTTCATAAGAGAATAAAACCTTGTATCTCCAAAATGGCAGCTTTTCAGGAAAAGTGGGGAATTCCACCCATTTCTTATAATATTTGCATAATTAAGATATAAACAAAGTCATTCAGAGTGGTTTGGTGTGAAATGCTTCGTCAGAACTGTTCACAGTGGTGGTGATAGGAACCAGACGTCCACCTCTAAAAGCTCCCTCACAGAAAGTTATTAAATAAAATGGTTATGAATTCAGTGCCTGACGTCTGAGACTCTGTTTTACGATGGTTTTGAGAGAAGATTTTGGCCTAAAGCATATTTTTAAAATCCGTTGGTGGAGGGGTGCATGCAGGGTGTTGTGTGGCAAAATAGTTCCCAAAGGAAAAGTGTTTGTTTCAGATTTATCAGTGTTTAACCATCATCAACATTACAAGTGTAGGCAAGTTAGATAGTAAATAAAATGGCTATATTTGTGTTGTAGACATTGTGACTCCTGTTTGCTGTCAAAGAAATCTGACTTTCTGCATTTCTCTGCATCAAACCACTCTGAATAACTTCATCTCAACCACTGAGTTATGTAGAATTTTTATTTTTTTCCCCTTCAACTTATAATGGAAGTGAATGTAAAAGAATAATTTAGAGCAGAAATTTTGGAGTATTTTCGAGTGAGCTGGTGTTTACAATTTATAAAACCACAAAAACTGGCGAAAATGGAAATACAAGGTTTTGCCCCGACAGAGACGTCGACGTTAAACTGGAACAAAAGGCTTGGAATTTTGTTTACCAGCCGAGGCCAAAAAGCACAAAACACTAGTGTTGACCTTAACAAGAAAACGCAGCCTCACAATGACAGGAATGCTTTTTCTCCTCCCTCTGCCGTCTCTCTTATCTCTCTCTGTCCTTCTCCGTCGTTCACTGCTATCTGTGTTGTCATTCCAGGCTGCAGTATGTTCTCCTCGGTGAAGCCCTACGAAGGCCAGCAGTTTGCGGCTTTGAGGAAACAGTGCCAGCAGAACAGGACGCTGTTTGAAGATCCCCTCTTCCCCGCTGTGGACCAGTCTCTGTTCTACCACGGCAACCGCATCGGCAAAGTCACCTGGAAGAGGCCCAAGGTGAGGGAGGCCTGGTGGAAGAAGGGCTTTTTAAAGGGGCCTTATCGTGGGCCCAATCTCATTTCTTATTTTCAATCCTACCCCTTGTTTTTCGAGTTCAGGTTCAAGTTCAGCTCCTCACTGCTGGGCTTTAGTTACATTTAGGGAATCATATGCCTTCAAAGATTATTTTGCACATTAATAATTAATAATAATAATAGTAATTATTTATTACCACCCACCCTTAATTCTTCAGTGATATGAAGCTGAATCAGCTATTCGCCAGCTTCTTGCTTTAATTTTCCTGTTTCACCTTAAATGGAGCAGCAGTTACATTCTGCCGCATGAGGCGTCAGAACTGCTGGACTGTTTAAGGTGGAATGGGAAATTTAGCTAGCTGGCTACTGAGACATTAGCCTACTACTAGTATACTAATAGTATATTGGTATACTATTTATATATGAAAACTCAGCTGCAAAAACAGCCTGTTTTCAGTTCACTGTTTTTGTAATGTCACAGACACTGTCTGAGTACAATTTCTGTCTTATTTATTTATTTATTACTTTCTAAGATAAATTCGTAATTTTTTCATTCATATCCATCAGAAAATTATAACATCCAGAAATAACAATCAGGTTTACTAACTGAACCTCGAAATGACCACACTTAGGGATGCATTGATACCATTTTTTTCAGACCGAGTGAAAGTACATGTTTTTTTTTAGTACTTCCTAACATACTGATACATACTGAGTAACCTACTTAGACTTAAGTAGTTGTTAGTCTAAATGAATGCAATGTACCTTAACAGTTAGACTATTAAAATCTAGCTGATTTTAAATGACATGCATTATGCTACATTACTCACCTTGGATCGAGTAGTGTTGCAGGAAAACACCTGAGTACAGCTGTTAGTGAAGTATGTTTCATAGTTTTGATCCTCATCTGTTTCTTTACAGTAGTCTGTGTAGTACAGCAACAGCAGGAATCATGTCAAAGGCTAACGCAGCAGAGTCTAAAGCATCTGTGGAGCTCAGTTTGTTGAGTTTTATGTCTTGTTGGATTCTTTTTGCCTGGTTAAGCTGTAGCTGAATTTATTCTAAAGCCAGACATGCACTGCGATTTAAGAAATCTTGTATGTGTGTGTGTGTGTATATATATATATATATATATATATATATATATATATATATATATATATATATATATATATATATATATATATATATATAATGTGTGTATATGTGGCATGAGCATGAGGTTAGACCAAATTGCGGGAGTCTTGCAGCCAACAAGTCACAGTTGGCAGCCCTGAGCTTCAATCTAATATTAGCTACATTAGCTGCGTAGCTCTAGTGCAAAAATGAAGCCGCAAACTTCAGACACCATACTTGTCCTGACTGATTGACTGCATTTGATGTAAGGAGGAAAACTGTCCAAATTAGATTTGTTTCCTTTAAATTACCTCTTGTGGGTGCAGTTCAGTTCACAGGTAAATGTCTTATTCTAAACAGCTGGTGCAGAAGACATGGAGAGGACATATACATGTGTGTAGTGCCTGTTTTGGAAGAAAATGTATGTGTCCTTAAGCAAATAGAAGCAAAATACCGAAGTCCACTTAAGCTGGACTGGTTTGTGGCTGTAGTGAATGTTGCCACTGTTCATATCTGAACAGATGAGTGTTTACCATGTAAGGACTGAGTCTTCAGTCAAAACGAATGAAAAATAAACATGTAAAGCAGTTTGTAGTTGCAGAACCAACTTCAGAGATAAACAATCCGTTTCATTATTGCGGGTGGCCTTGCGTTCGTTTCCTTGATGACTAGATTCTGCTTCCTCTAGTTTCGGCAAGATCTTTTTCTTCTTCAGATCTTTTCCAGGACGGTTGTCCCAGTAAAATGCATGCACTAGAACCTATACGCTTGACGTTTTTGAAGCAAAAGAGGAAGGTGGGAGAAAAGCCATTAATTCAGATCAATTCAGTTCAAAACCACGTGTTCGCGTGTGTAGCGCATTGTCTTCCAGGTTAACTACACAAAAAGTAACCACATCCTTTCTCGACCACATCCTCATTGGTGTTACGTTTTATTGAACATATCTTTTTGCCATGGTGTTAAACGTACTGATGGAGCAAGACAAGATCATGTGTTTATTTAAATTTTCACACATCTGTCCAAATCATACACTTCACCCCTTCTTATTGGCATATTCAGCTACCTTAAAGGGCCAATATCATGCAAAACTGAATGTTCCTCACTTTTCTGGAATAAGAGTTTAATGTAGTATATAAACATTGCTAAAGTTTCAAAACATAATCCCCAGTCCACACACTCCATATATAGAAACTAAGCTGCAAAACCAACCTGGTTTGAATTAGATGTTTCTGTGTTGTCACAAAAGACAACACACTTACCTGTTCAGCCTACAGCACCTGTTCAGCCTATATCAGTCTAGCTCCACCCATTCACACTGAAGTTATAGGGAGTGTTTCAGTCTGGATTGCTTTTTGAATGAGACACAGCACAGGGCAGCCAATCAGAACAGACATCAATTATATGTGTGTGTATATATATATATATATATATATATATATAATATATATAAACGATCAGGCTAAAAAGTAGTCATGTAAACATGAATTATGACTGTCTTTGGTAAGTGAATCTCAGGGTTTTAAGGTGCTTCTCTTTAGAACAGCAATGACCAATAGAATAGAGCGCTCTGGAGCAGCCAAGCATGTGCTAGAGGGGTGTAAAGCCCCCCAACAGTGGGTTGTGGAGCAGTGGAGGTGTTCTCTGGAGTGATGGAGCTCCATCCAGTACCTTTGGGATGAGTTGGAGATCCAGAACTAACCATCCAACATCAGTACCTGACCTCACTAATGCTCAATCAAATCCTCACAGCAATGTTCCAACATCTATTGTAAAGCCTTCCCAGAATAAAAGCTGTTACTGCAGCAAAGAGAAGGAAACTCACTGTTAATACCCTTCATTTCAGAAGAAACCTTTTAAACTGCTAAAGGGGAATTCCGTCAGATTTTCAAAATTTCTGCATGTTTCAGCGGTTGATGTGTATACCAAGTCATCCAGAGTGGTTTGACATCAAATGATGATTTATTGTAAAGAAACTTACAGACTCAGCTTTCTTTACAGTGGTGGTGATAGGAACCAGGAGTCACAGTGTCTACAACACAAATACAGGCATTTTATTTACTATCCAAAACCACCAGTGAACCTACACGTGTCTGAGTTTTTATATATAATGTTGATGACAAAAAACTTTGTCTGTTGACTATTTTGCCTTACAGCAACCTGAATGTACCACTCCACCATTAATGGATTTTAAAAAGTATGTTCTTTTTAAAAAGCATTAAACTCTTGAGACATCTGGTTCCATTCACCACCACTGTGAATATTTCTGACTCAGTAAGGTTCTTTTGAATGGAGCATCTTACATCAAACCACTCTGAATGACTTTGTCTACATATTAACCAAGGAAGTATGCAGAATCTTTAAAAAAGTGGGGCAATCCACTTTAATGCTCTTGGTTTTAGAAGAAACCCTTCCATAGACAATAAGCAGACAAGGTTGTTTTGCCTCTCAGTTTCCATTATCCTTTGAATATTGGTCAGCATTCAGATATAATGGTTTTAGATTGTGGCTCTGAAGCATCTGAAGCCATTAGGATTCCAGCTAAATCAATATAATGCTTCCCATTACATTCTAGCATTAAATATTCATGAAGAACACAGTTAAGAATGCCAGTATGAACACTAATCATAATATCCGCAGGGCTTTTATTTTGCTCCAGGTTTGTTAACTGGCCGTCTGTCGTTTTAACAGAAGACAGAAAAGAGTTGATGTGGCTGAAAGGAACAGATGGAGAAGGCAGACGGCTGCTGATAAAACACGGCGAGTTTTGAGGAGCTTGTATGGGTGGAGATGGTTCAAAGTGTGGTGGAGTTGTATGTATTGATTACATTGTGGGCGAGGCTTTGCTGGGACTAATACAGATATTAACAGCAGGACGTACAGGGAGTGGTGCTGCAACTTTAGCACGTAAATAAAGTCACGTTTCTGTGTTGCTTGTGGAAAAACGTGAGGGGTTAGCAAATTAACACTGTCTCAACGTCCAGAGATCAAGAGAACATCAAATGGTTCCTGGCAAGCTGGAGTTTAGCGCTCTACCTCCGTTACCATGCATGATTCAACATGTCAGGTAATTAACCCCTTAAATGGTAGGCCCAAAGTTTTATTACACACTTCTATAACCTAAGAATAGCTCAGCCATTTTGCATTGAAGGCCCTGTAGTTACTGAATAATAAGCCTTAGTATGTAATAAGCCTGGATTTTAAAGGGTTAAAGGCCTCTATGAGTTGAGTTAGACAAAGGAACGTGCTAATCTCTGGCAGGGCAGTCGCACTGGGGCCTGTAGTACAGGTAGGCTGTGGTGACCAAGCCCCCAAATTAATTTATCTGACCGCTCATATCGCTAATTATATAATTTTACAGTCATGACTCAAGGATAGCAGCGATAATACCCATCAACCATTAACCTTCATTAGAGCACCAGCTTGTTTAGGACATGGCATTCGCAAGTAAGCGAACAAGGATAGGTCCATTTTTTTCCCTTAGGGTTGGAAAAATTGGGACGTCACCAGGGAGACGTGATTACCTTACCTGCACAAACCGTTAGAAGTCTAATGAGTGCTTCTCTGGATGCTGTTCTCCCAATTGGGATGAGTAACTTAACCGTTTGGCTAAACAGCAATTTACAAAACACGTACGCAGCTCAAACACTCATTCATCCTGAACTACAATCCTGTAAAAACGCATTAAACATTAGGATTGTTCTCACACCCAGTATAGTGTTTTAAGTGTGTGAGGCAGTAATGGCTACCGTCACAACAAGCATATTCAATAACTAAACAAAATAAATAAATAAACAAAAATGTGTATTGCTTTTTGTGCGCCTATGTAAAAATAAATTAGTGTTAACTTTGTTTTTGTAGTCTTTATAGTAAAAGCTGTCGAGGTAACGCTGACTATTTCTCGGCCCTTTCGTGCATAAAAAATGTGCTCTCAGTTCTGCCGTAAGGAGCTGTTAGTATTTCGTTTATTTTATTTTTTATTTTATATATTATGCTTTTGTATTTTTTTATTTTGCTGTTTGCTTAAGGGAGAGGTTAGATTTCTGTTTGCATTAATTTATAATGATGTAATAATAATAATAATAATAATAATAATAATAATTCAATAATATTTTAACAACAATCACAATTTTAATATTCCACTCTATTAGACACTCCTACCTTGTCAGTCCAACACCTGCTGCTGCACAGTTTGTGTTGGTCATCCTCTAGTCCTTCATCAGTGGTCACAGGACGCTGCCCACAGGACACTGTTGGCTGGATATTTTGGTTGGTGGACTATTCTCAGTCCAGCAGTGACACTGAGGTGTTTATGCAGTGCTGAGAATGATCCACCACCCAAATAGTACCTGCTCTGTGAGGGTCCATGGGGGTCCTGACCACTGAAGAACAGGGTAAAAGGGGGCTAACAAAGTATGCAGAGAAACAGATGGACTACAGTCTGTAACTGTAGAACTACAAAGTGCACCTATATAGTAAGTGGAGCTGATAAAATGGACAATGAGCGTAGAAACAAGGAGTTGGTCATAATGTCTGATTGGTGTATGAATGTATTTATTTATTTATTTATTTATTTATTAATTTATTTGAAGGTGATTTACAGATAAGTGGCTTCTAAAATTCTAGTTATGCTGCTGCATACACTACATATTGTTGCGTTTCTTAGTATAAACGCTGTACTTGCGGTTAAAGTCGGTAGTACACCATGTGGTCTGTTTGAGACACAGGGTGGGTTTTCTATTCCTGCTTGTCCCACTTCCTCCTTAAATGGGCTGAAACTGAAACGGAGCGGTTCATTTCGAGTTCTGTAGGGTCTGCAGTTCTGTGATGTTCGTACTCGAGTGCCTCTGCTTAAACCTGTAACTCACTGCTGAAGTGTTTTTCAGCAAGAGAATTTATTCAAGAGAATATATATATATATATTTATTTATATATATATATATATATATATATATATATAAAAATTTATTTTTTTTTTAATTTATTTATTCTTCCTGTTATATTGTTTACACCTTTATTATTATTTTTACTGTCCTGTGTTGTGTGACTGCTACTGGCTGCTAAATCTCCTTTGGGATCAATAAAGTATCAATCAATCTATCTGTCAATCAATCTATGAATCTATGAATCTATGAATCTATCCATCTATCAATCTATCAATCTATCTATCTATCTATGTTACTGTCCAGGTCACAAGCCTTCATCTTCGTCCTTCCCTCTACTTTATTCTTTCTTTCTTTCTTTCTTTCTTTCTTTCTTTCTTTCTTTCTTTCTTTCTTTCTTTCTTTTCTTTTTGTCTCCTTCCCTCCCTGTCTCCCCCTCTCTCTCTAGCTCTCGCTCTCGCTCTATCTATCTATCTATCTATCTATCTATCTATCTACCTACCTATCTATCTATCTACCTACCTACCTATCTATCTATCAAACTATCCAGAGGCCCTTCAGGACCAAGAGCTGGTCGCCCTTATTTTAGGCGTTTCTGCATAGACGTTACTGAAAGTTCTCGCTTGCATGGGAACTCCTCTTGCCAGTGGTTTGACACCTGTTTTGTCTTTACCGCTGCAACTAGCGTTCTCGTACGCAGGGTGGGGGTGACGGAGTGAGTCAGCTTTTCTTTGCATACGCAGACTGAGGTGGTGATGGAGGTAAACTGCAGGATGCTGGAGGACTTAACTAAATATACTAAATTCAGGCCTCAGGAGAGCTGCTGCTACTGTTTTTAGCTGTGCTGTATCTATAACATCCATATTTATAGATTTAGACGTGTCACAAAGCGAAGGCTGCAGACGAGGTAGGAGAGACGGACACGTAACGGCTTACTGTTACAAGCAACGTCACACGTTTAATTTCACACTTTCATACATAGGATTTAAATTTTACACCTAATTATATTTAATTACAAACTCTGGTGCCGCAGCATCTTCCCACTCCCGCCTATTCCTGACGTTTTTCAAGTTGTTTTGAGCCGTGTGTGAAGGATTGTGGGTGACTGAAGGTCTCGAAAGAATAAAGCAAACCATTAATTGGGTGTATTTGAAGGATCGTACACTCTTAAAGATGGTTCTTCAAGGGTTCTTTAGTAAAGACACTAGTTCTCTACAGAACTATGAACACTCAAAGAACCGTTTGCATGCTTATGTTTTGAAAATGATTGTGTATATAGCATCAAAAAGGGTTCTTCTGTTGTTATATAATCTATTATGTATTGTATAGGAAACCCCTTATTAATGCTATTCGAAAAGGTTCTATATAGAACCATATACAATACATTCTTCATGAATTCGATTTCACTGTGCAAAGAACTCTTTAAGCATGCAAATGGTTCTTTGGGTGTTCACCTCATGCAGAAAATTTTGATTTAGATATTGTGCAATTTAGGCAGTGTGGCATTATAGATCACTTGCTGATTAATAAACACTGATTAATAATATTACCACTGATAATAAACTTTAATAAAGTATTTATAGAGCACTTTTCATACAGTTAGCAGCTTATAGACTGTAGTGATAAACTTTAGAAGTAATAAAATGAAGTAGAATAAATGAAATTTATGATTATTGACTCAAAATGAGAGATAACAGCTAAAATAAAAATAATAAATACAAATAGTGTAACTAGTAGTGAGTGCACTTACTATAGTTTACACTCAGTTACAGGGATAGTTTAGGGCCTGTTTGGAACTGATGAGCTGCAGCTGGACCCTGTGGAAATCTTTCGGCCCCCTCGGCTCGCCTGCTGGCACTGCTGAGGAACGTTTGGGTTTGTTTTGTATGCGCAGTGCTGCACTGTTCTCTCCCCAGGTGTCCTACAGACTCGTTAGCTGAGCCTGTTGCTGGATTCTGTGTGTTTGTCTGTTTCTTTCTGGGTCTGTTGTTCGTAGTGAAGTGTTTTGGTTGTGAGCGGAGTGTAATCTCTCATAGTGACTGTTCACTGAAACTGAAAACACTGATGTTTTGGATATTTGTGTCGTCTACATACATGAAAGTATCCAACAGGTGCTTTACCGCTCTTTCCTTTTTCGCCCCTCTCTCTCCTCCTCAGGAACTGTGTGATGACCCCCACCTGTTTGTTCATGGTATCAGTGCTCATGACCTGCACCAGGGGCAGCTGGGAAACTGCTGGTTTGTGGCCGCCTGTTCCAGTCTCGCCTCCAGAGAAGCTCTGTGGCAGAAAGTGAGTTTATTCCTGTCTGAATATCTGAATATTAGGGGTTTAAATGGTGCAGAACTAATAAAGCTGTGAAAAGTTTCCATATTTACCAAATATAAGTTCTGTTCTTTTCTGTTTCTCTTCAAATCACATGAAGGACAATCATATTCAACATTATTATGAAGATTAACCAGACAAAAACTACATTTTCTAGAAACTACACTATTTATTTAGTTTTTTTATATTTTGAACTGTTCTTTCAAAACAATCTGAAAAACCCAGCAAAAATGACACACACTGCATTCAATTCAAAGAATAGTTTGGCGAAAAATCAAATTTACATTATTTTCCACATCCCCCAAATGTAGTTGATTAACCAAGACATGTTTGGTGTTGAAATTTTCCTTATTTAGGTTAGAACTGGAGCTGCTAGGCTAACATTGCTAACAAACACTGGAAGTCAATAGGCACCCAAACGTGAACTATTCTTTTCATGTCTAATTTCCCTCATAGAAACAGTGAAGTAGTTACACGTGATATTTTCAGTGTTGATCTGCTGCCGCTCAAACTGTTCGAACGCATTTGTGCTGACCGGTGCAGGAGAGCGAAGAGAACAAACAGCATTTTTAATCACTGTTTATCATTTTCATTCAATTTATTTGTAACGTTTTAGGTTTTGACACTTTGTTGTTCTCTACTTGTTCTTTGTTAAAATTTTTCAACTGTTCTTTTTCATCTAAAAACCGAACGGAACATTTTTAGCCATTTTCAGTGGTCGAAATTTCAGTGCATCCCTAATTTATGCATCCCTGTTTATCATTTTCCTTAAATTTATTTGTAACGTTTTAGATTTTGACACTTTGTTGTACGCCTACTTAATCTTTGTTAGCTTCAGCCAAAATTTTCAACTGTTCTGTTTCATCTAAAAACCGAGCTGAACATTTTTAGCCATTTTCAGTGGTCGAAATTCCAGTACGTCCCTGATTCACAGTGGTTTCTACGAAAGCTGTAAATGAGGCACTCATCAAAGAGAGCGAGTAGCACATCAGCGATACAGATTTATATTTCTGTACATCGTGGAGCACAAATTTTTTTACTTTTTTGATACTGTTTTAAAATTGTTACCAGTTTTCAGAATATCTGTGTTTAATGTTTGTCAGAATATCTGTGAGATTGTCTGCGTGATGCTTCTTTAACCAAAAAAAACCTAAAGAAAAGAGAAATGTGGAAAGTCAGGGTTGGCCGCTAGTTTGCAGTGGAGGTGTGAACATGCTGCGTTGGCCTGGGATTAAAAAAAAAGTTTACCTAAGCCGTGGTGTGGTGTGGTGTGTGCTCTGTTTGATTAGTGGATAGGCTGGGCGGCTATAAACAGAGTTAATATTAACTAATGAGGTCTAAAATACATACTGAACCAGGATCTACTGCTCAGACGATCCCTCGGAGAGAGAGAGTGATACCAGAGATTGCTCAATGAATGTGTGCCTGTGAGAGTGAGTGAGTGAGCGAGTGAGGAATCTTGTTTCAATGTTCAGTGTTTAGTCAGGGTGAGGAGTTCATTCCTATCTGGCACAATTTGGACATATAAAGCTCGACAAAACCGTTGGATACAGACAGAAATCTAACTAACTTCTCCTTTTTAGCCAGTAGCAAAATAAAGAAGTATGAATTACAAAAATACATTCAAATAATGTGCAAAAATGAAATATTAATAATTATTAAATATTAATAAGTACTTACATCGGGCCCTGAGTAATTCAGTGCCTCTGATTGGCCCTTATGTGATTTGTGCATTCCGCCTACACAGGGCTTCCCAAACAAACGGGGAAAAATATTTATTAAGTTGATTTTTTTTCTGTGTGTGCCTATCAAGTTATTACGCTTGCTACTAAGCTGCGCCTCCTTTTCTCACCCCTCCAATTACTGCAGAGTAGCCATTGCAGCTTCCATATGCTTTACCTACAATGCTTTAGGTACCTACAGTGTTTAAGTTTATTTTAAGTTCAGGGTAATTTTCAAACCTCGACTGGCTGTGTCTTTTAGTGGTTTGGTTCTGGGTTTAAGTTCATTGAGGCAGAAACTGGCTTCCTGTTTTCAAATTCTCTGTTCCACCTTAAATAGTACAGCATTTTTCTAAATAGGAACCAAAGACCTGCCCTACATAGTGCACTGTTAACCTTTATTTCTAACAATGTACTATGTAGGGCAGGTGTGGCAACATGTGGCTCTTTTACTGCTCTGTTGTGGCTCCACAGCAGAATTAAATAAAATAATCCTCCTTTGCAGTAAATAAAGCTCTGCTGATCGTTCAACACAGTTTTACAATAAATGGTCTTAAACACTGGAGTTAATGTGGAACTGCTAATTCACCCTTTAACCCTGAAGGCTGGCGCGCAGACTGCTGGTCACGAACATCGATAATTTGGAGACTAATGGACTTATTTGCAGTTATAATCACTCCAGCTGGTTTCCTGATATGTTTAATCTGCAACGAGAAACTGTCAAACCCTAAAAAGTCGCTTCTCGTTCTCCAGCTTCTTGTTTGAATTTTCCCGTTCCACCTTAAATGCTGCCTGAGGAATGTAACTGCTGCACCATTTAAGGTGGAATGGAAAAATTCAAACAAGAAACTGATGAATGAGAAGTGACTTCAGCCTCGTAAAAAGTCAAATGCTGAGAGACATTTTACAAGAAACTGTTCCATTTTTGGAAAGGTTTCCTGCCGGAGATGTGAGAAAAGAAGCTGTAGCTGAGCTAAAGCTTAAAGCAGAGCAAAGTGAGTCTGTGTTTTAATTTATAGTATATTTTTAGTCTATACTAGGACATCAGCACATACTGAGATATATTTACAGCCAAGATGGTAAAATGGACATGTTGTGACTCCCAGTGTAGTTTGATTTTTGTTGAAAGGACAAAATGGCTCTTCTTAATATTTTGCTTGCTTTTCACAAAAACCAACTCGTTTACTTTTGGAATTAGTTACAACACAGTGAAGCCAGAGATTCCTATCATTTTAGTATATCAGCAACTTCATTGGGAAAGGAATGCAAGAAAAATGTAGGATATTGGCCTTTTAAATACACCACTTGGTTCCAGTTAAGCGAGAGAACTTCAGGCTTGTTTTTTGCTGCGTGGGTAAGAAACCTGTTGCACTGTCACTAACAGTTACACAAACTCTGTGTCATCGCCCCCCTTGGGGAGGGGCAGTGTTGTGGAAAATCCCCCCCGCATGCCCTCTCCTCCGGTGGTTTAATACCCACTGTGCTCTACCTGCAGTGTAATCAGCTCAGATCTGCCCCAGAGATCCTCCTCCACTTCATCTGTTTTCAAACACTTGGTTTGAAACAGTGAAGACACCTCAGAATAAATGATATTAGATTCACTTTGAGGTAACTAGGTGGGAGGAAGCGGGGGGTTTCTTGCCCCTTAGGCTTCCCCGACTGTTGCAGCTGCCATGTGTTCCCGGAATGTTTTAATGCCCTCTTAAGGACTGAGCTGGAGAGCACTAATGACTTTCAGAAGGACTGCACAGTGAATTGTGTGTTAATCAAAACCACAGTTTGGACTGTTACAGACGGTCCCCATTAAATGTTACTATGTATTTACTACAATTAACATATTAGTAAAACATAAATCATAAAATGTGGCCTGTGTAAAAGTTACGGCTTTATATTTTGTGTTATTTTTTCCAGAATTTCAGTGTAAAACCCCATTTCCAAAAAAGTTTCTGCAGAATGTAAATAAAAATAGAATGCAATGATGTGCAAATCATGTAAACCGTATTTTTAAAGGAAAATACTACAAAGACAACCCTGTAAAAGTTGAAACGAAGAAATGTTAGTTTTTTGAAAAATATATGCCTGTTTTGAATTTGATGCCAACAACACGTTCCAAAAAAGTTGGGACGGGGGCCTGTTTACCACTGTGTTTCATCACCTCTTCTTTTAACAACACTCTGTAAGTGTTTGGGTGATGGATCTGGACTGCAGGCAGGCCAGTTTATCACCCAGACTCTTTTACAATGAAGCCATGCTGTTGTAACACATGCAGAATGTGGTTTGACATCGTCTTGCTGAAATAATCAAGGCCTTCCCTGAAAAAGACGTCGTCTGGATGGCAGCATATGTTGCCAAAACATGTATATATCATTCAGCATTAATGGTGCCTTCACAGATGTGTAGGTCACCCATGCTATGTGCACTAATGCCCCCCTATACCATCATGAATACTGGATTTTGAACTGTACACTGATAACAAGCTGAGTGGTCTTTAGTCCGAAGGACACAGTGTCCATGATTTCCAAAAAGAATTTCAAATGTTGATTTGTTGGACCACAGGACACTTTTCCACTTCACCTCAATCTATTTTAAATGAGCTCAGGCCCAGAGAAGGTGGCAGCATTCCTGGATCCTGTTTATATACAGTTTCCTCTTTGCGTTTTAGAGTTTTAACTTGCATTTGTGGATGTAGCGACAAGCTGTTTACACAGACAGTGGTTTTCAGAAGTGCTCCTGAGCCCATGCAGTGATTTCCACTACAGAATCATGTCTGATTTTAAAGTAGAGCCACCTGAGGGCCCAAAGATCACGGCCAGCAAATACTGGTTTTCAGTCTTGTCCCTTACATACAGAGATTTCTCCAGATTTTCTGAATCTTTTAATGACATCATGTACCGTAGATGATGAAATCCCGAACTTCTTTGCTATTTTATGTTGAGAAACGTTATTCTTGAATCATTTAGTCTTTCACAGAGGGATGAACCCCTCCTTATCTTTACTTCTGAAACGCTCAGCCTTACTTAGATTCTCTTTTTGTACTCAATCACGTTACTGACCTGTTGCCAATGAACCACCAGGTGTTTTTTTTTTAGCATTACACAACTTTACCAGCCTTTTGTTGCCCCTGTCCCAACTTTTTTGGAACGTGTTGTTGGCATCAAATTCAAAATGGGCAAATATTTTTCAAAAAACAATAAAATTTCTGTTTGATTTGTTTTCTTTGTACTATTTTCAGTCAAATATAGGGTTTAAATGATTTGCATATGAGGAGTGTAGATTAAAATGTGGAATACAGTGATGAGTATAGATTTAACTGCTGAATGTAGATTACAGTGACGAGTGCAGATTACAGTGAGGAGTGTAGATTTATAGTGATGAGTGTAGATTAAAGTGTAGATTACAATGATGAGTGTAGAATACAGTGATGAGTGTAGATTAAAGTGTATAATACAGTGATGAGTGTAGATTTAACTGCTGAATGTAGATTACAGTGATGAGTGCAGATTACAGTGAGGAGTGTAGATTAAAATATAGATTACAGTGATGAGTGTAGATATATAGTGATGAGTGTAGGTTACAGTGATGAGTGTAAATTAAAGTGTAGAATACAGTGATGAGTGTAAATTAAAGTGTAGAATACAGTGATGAGTGTAGGTTAAAATGTAGATTACAGTGATGAGTGTAGATTAAAGTGTAGGTTACAGTGATGAGTGTAGATTAAAGTGTAGATTACAGCGATGAGTGTAGGTTAAAGTGTAGATTACAGTGATGAGTGTAGAATACAGTGATGAGTGTAGGTTAAAGTGTAGATTACAGTGATGAGTGTAGGTTGAAGTGTAGAACACGGTGATGAGTGTAGATTAAAGTGTAGATTACAGTTTAGATTAAAGTTCTGAGTGTAGATTACAGTTTAGATTAAAGTGCTGAGTGTAGATTACAGTTGATTACAGTGCTGAGTGTAGATTACAGTGTAGATTACAGTTGTGAGTGTAGATTAAAGTGTAGAATACAGTGATGAGTGTAGGTTAAAGTGTAGATTACAGTGCTGAGTGTAGATTAAAGTGTAGATTACAGTGATGAGTGTAGATTAAAGTGTAGATTACAGTTTAGATTTAAGTGCTGAGTGTAGATTACAGTGTAGATTACAGTGCTGAGTGTAGATTACAGTGTAGATTACAGTGGTGAGTGTAGATTACAGTGCTGAGTGTAGATTACAGTGTAGATTACAGTGGTGAGTGTAGATTACAGTGGTGAGTGTAGATTACAGTGTAGATTACAGTGGTGAGTGTAGATTACAGTGGTGAGTGTAGATTACAGTGCTCGTTCCTCTCTGCACTCTGTGTGCTGTTACCTCTCAGTGCAGTCATGTGGGATGTGATGAATGTGAGCTAATGATGTGTTAATGAGATCCTCGTTAGAGAGGTCTGTTTGTTTACTGGTTAATGAGAGATTTGGGGTGATCAATTTAGACCTTTCTCACATCTGTACACGAGTTTATACTGTTATTGTCTTTGCTGAGTCTCTTATGATAAATATTTTCACAGTGTTCTGCTTTATGACTGTAAACACATCAACAAACCTGCATCATCCCACTGTTTCACTCTCAGTGACTCTTCTTTCCTTCTCCTCTCTTTTCTTTCTTTTTTTTTATCACTCTTTTTCTAAAGACGTTTCAGTCTGTCTGCCTGCCAGTCTGTCTATAAGCTCTTTTAACTCTCTTTTTGGAAACTGTCTTCATTTCTTTTTTTAAACTCTTTTCTTCGGTTTGGAAACTCTTTATTATTAAACCTTTCTTTGTCTGACGGTACTTATTTTGTTAAACTCTTTCTTTCTTTCTTTTTTAAAACATGCAATCTGTCTTTCTCTTTTGTTGTGTCTATCTGTCTGTCTGTTTGACACCTTGTTCTCTCCTGAGGTCTCATTATCATCCTCTCTCTCTGCATCGCGCCTGCACACACTCTTCCCTTTCTGTGTCTCTGAGGACACACACACCCACACACACACCCACACACACACACACACCCACCCACACACCCACACACACCCCCCCCCACACACACACACACCCCACACCCCCCCCCCACACACACACACACCCACACACACACACACACACCTGGGACAGCCTTTAAGAAAACTTTTTTCCTTTTCTGTGTTTTCAGGAATCTCTTTTATAGTCCTGTTTGTAGTTGTCAGCCAGTTTATGCTGAATGTGAAGATGTTTTTTGGGTGAATGACATCAGTTTTATTACAGTTTAGGATTTTTAAGTGCAGGTTTTACGTTCATGGTTTAACCCCTAGTAGGAAATAATGAAAAATTCAAAGTGGTTACTGAATATCGTATGTATACCAAATATCTCATAGTAGTTACTGACTAATTCATAGTATATACCAAATAATTCATAGTAGTTACTGAATAATTCATAGTGTATATACCGAATAATTCATAGTATATACCAAATAATTCATAGTAGTTACTGAATAATTCGTAGCCTATACCAAATAATTCATAGTAGTTACTGAATAATTCATAGTAGTTACTGAATAATTCATAGCCTATATCGAATAATTCATAGTATATACCAAATAATTCATAGTAGTTACTGAATAATTCGTAGCCTATACCAAATAATTCATAGTAGTTACTGAATAATTCATAGTAGTTACTGAATAATTCATAGCCTATACCGAATAATTCATAGTATATACCAAATAATTCATAGTAGTTACTGAATAATTCGTAGCCTATACCGAATAATTCATAGCAGTTACTGAATAATTCGTAGCATGTACCGAATAATTTATAGCAGTAACTGAATAATTCGTGGCATATACCGAATAATTTATAGCAGCTACTGAACAATTTGTTGCATATACCAAATAATTCATAGTAGTTACTGAATAATTCATAGTAGTTACTGAATAATTCTTAGTAGTTGCTGAATAATTCATAGCAGTTGCTGAATAATTCATAGTATATACCAAATAATTCATAGTAGTTACTGAATAATTCTTGGTAGGTGCTAAATAATTGACTTTGTTTGCTGAATAATACATTATAGTTACTGAATAATAAGTCTTTAGAGCAGTAAGTTTGTGGGTTTAGGGTTTTAAGATAAGATGATGACTGCTGAATGTGTCTGTAATAATATATAAGAATATCTATCTATACAGGTATAGTGATATCAAACCGGCTGTAGTATTTATTTAAAACATGCTAAATGTCTTTGTGTTGCTGGTATAAGATGTTGCTGTCAGGAAAAAGAAAAACATATAAAACATTATAGAACTGCATTAAATGGTTTTGACCTCTGCCTGTAGTTTTGAATGTCATGCGTGCATGGATAGAGGCGGCTGCGGTCGGTTTTGTCCGCGCACTGTCCGCCCCGGGGCAGCGCGACATTGATCAACAGGCGTACAGTGGGCAGCGCTGGCGGCCGGCCAGGCCTGCACTTTTCTGATATGACCTCACAGCGAGGGACACACACGCTTTCAGAGGCTTGATCAGTGCAACACAGAGACACAGAAAAAGAGGCCGAGCCAGAACAGCAGTTCATTAGTTGACAAAACTAGTTTATTCTCTGTTGTATCGATTTACACTTACATGTTATATATTTTATATCTATATTTTGTGCTTTTCAGGTAAAACTCTTTATATTTTAAGCAGCATGTTGGAGGTTTTTGTATATGTGACCAGACAAAATTACAGTACACAGCTGTGTTACAACAAAAAAATAAACATTCTCTATCAAACACTTCTTCTTCTTATTATTATTATCATCTATGAGGAAAAAGCAGGTAGTTTTAGTTTTATAATAGCTTTTTGACTGAGGTGTTTAATCTTATACTGGCCAACAATGCAGGTAGAAATTAGCTCATAGCTAACTCTGGTGCAAATCATCTTTTGTCACTTGAGATGAATGTTTTTGAACAAAATCTGCTCCCAAAATCAACAAAACCTAAATTGTTACACTAAAGGCTTTCTGTCAGTTAAAAGGGACTAAATAAAGGACTAAACCGTTAGCCTCGCAGATCTGAGAGATGGTTTCTAACCTTTAGCACTGGAGGCCAGAGATCAAGCCTCAGCGCTTTTCTTGAAGACTAGTGAACAGTCGATGTTGTCCTTCTCCGCTCCATCCTTGAAGGCGAACAGGAAGTACATCACCTTCCTGACCTTGGCTAACTCGGCTATCCTCTCCCCGAACTCCTGGATGTCGGCCTCCAGGCACTTTATGGGGGCGTCCTCGGGGTCCCCCGCGCTCCTCCAGAACTGACCGGTGGGCTCCAGCAGCTGCCGGGTCATCAGGTTGGTCAGGTCGGGCGTCCACAGCTGAGAGATTCCAGTGACGGACAGGCGGCCTGGACCCTTCAGATAGGAGGGGGGGATAAGACCATGTGTTATTGCTATGATACATTACATCACAATATGATTTACTTGGCGAATTGTGCTTATCGGTGGTTCTTTCACAGCACTCCTAAAAATAAAGGTGCTAGAAAGGATGCATTTTGTAAATATGAAGAAGCTTTTTATGAAGTTTAAAGAACCTTTAAGGAACATAGTGTGGAACCTAGTAAAACCTTGGTCATAAAACAGGAAAAAGAAAATCCTGTACGATAAAGCTAATTTCTGCTAGTGTCCCTATGAGATTTTAGTAGTAAGTTAGCACCAAGCTAAGAGCGATCACATAAACGCTTTTTGGCTGTTCTAGAATAAACACACACATATTTTACAAGAGCCCATATTTTAATTTATTTTTTTACATTTATTTTTATAACATTTTTATTTATTATAACATTTATTTATTTTATTTATTATAAAATGTATTAAACATTTTATTTATTATAACATTTGTGAGTTTACTTACCAAAAACGGTCAGAATTCATTCGTACATGGTCATTTTCCAACCTCTCGTTATCCCATTGAATTGAACAGGCTGTTTTTGTTAGTGTGCCTTTCAGACTGATATATGTTAATGACCTCTGTTCTGATTGGCTGCTCTGTATTGTGCCTCATTCTAAAAGCTGACCAGGCTGAAACACTCAGTATAACTTTAGCAGGAGTGGATTTCGTTTTCCTGTAGGCTGTTTTGGAAGCTCAGTTTCCCGTATGGAACCTTTGTGTTGTGTGAAGCATCTTTACACCTTTAAAAGGTTTTTCACGCTCACAAGGTTCTTTAGGGCAGTGGTTCAGGGCAGTTTGAGAACCACCACTTTGAGGAGACCAAAAGTGGTTCTTCTATGGCAGTGGTTCCCTCAGGGACCCCCAGAGGGTCCACATTTTTGTTCCAATCCAACTCACAGCACATGGGATGAAGGAAGTATGTGGACTGGGTGGGAAACCACTGTTCTGTGGCATTGCTTCACTTGGAGTCTATTCAGATGACGCTCCAAAGTGGCTTAGCTGTTTAAGGTTTGGCTCTGTTGTCAGGAGATTGGAAGAAGTTTGATTTAGGGGCTTGAAAAAATTGCCTGAACCTCAATATAACAATTAATGTCAAGTTTAGTCGGTTCAAACATTGTTTTCCAATATTTATCGGGTTTCAGGTTGGATTTAAATTTTCTGTGTAACAAATTCTGGCATACATTTCTGCCTTTTTTTTTCCTTTTCTGTAATTTTCTACCTAATCCGGCATGCAGGAGTCACCTGTGTTGCTGCAGCAAGTCCACTGTGATCTACAACACCAGCATGTGAACAACACAAAAGTTTTTCCAAGCAAAAAAACTTTTGGAATGTTGTAATTTAAACTAATTACATTACAAACGTATCTATTCATTTTATTAAGGTCGTTTAACAAGCTACAAGTTACAGCTCTGCTTTAAATCTTGTTGTAGAGAAAAGTGTCGAAGGGATAGTATAGAATATGCTGAATAAAGAAAAGCATAATTGTTTTATAGTTTTACTGGCATTAAAAAAAATGCCACATTGTGTCTGTGCAGAATTATCTGACTTACCAGCAAAGCATAAAGATCATGATACATATTGTGTATCGTGAGTTTCGGCCCTACCTTCAGGGTGACGTTCCAGTGGGAGAAGGTCAGCTCCTGCTCGCTGAAGTCCAGCCGGTACACGGCCTCGTGGGGCAGCAGGAGGCGCTCTCCGTCCTGCCGCTTCTGGCCCTTCTGCTGGAGGGACTGAACCCGCAGCCGCATCACCTCGGTCAGCTGCAGGTCCTCCGTGAACTCCATCTCCATCTCCTCGGCCATGCTGGGCTGTCTTCTCTGACTGTTTTCTGCCTGCTTTCCTTTTTTTTACAGTAACTACTTTCTCTTTTCTCTCTTTCTTTCAGTTTGTGCTGTCTGCCTGCTTTCACTACTCTTTCTTTTTCGCAGTTTTTGCTGCCTCCTTGCTTTTTCTACTCTTTCTTGCTGTTATCTCTCTTCAGTTGCTGTAGCTTTTGCCGTCTACCTGCTGTCTCTTTACCCTTTACTCACTCGCTGCTGTCTGCCTGCGATCTGTCTACTCTTCCTGCACTTTCTGCCGTCCGTGCTCTCTATCTACTCTTTCTATCTCTCTCTCTCATGCCACCCCCCCTCCCCGCTGTCACCCCCCACTGCCCGCCTCTGTCTGTTCCCACAGGGCAATAAGCCTCATTTTGTTTAGGACATTATTGATTCTATTTCATATGGGGGCTGGTGGGATGGGGGGGGGTTGAAATACTGGTGAGAGAGAGCGAAGAGAAGGGAAGGGATTCATGGTTGGTGTGTGATGTGTTGCATCACCAGGCAACGGAAGCTTAATGACGTACAAAGCAGCAACTTGGCGATTTTCCTTTGGGCATTTCTTGACAATTGAGGACACCGCCACAGCAGTTTTAGTTACTTGTAAGGCAGGTTTAGGCTCACTGAGGTGTGTGCGTGTTTGTAAATGAGGAAAAAAAATGATGGAGAAGGGGGTCCTCCCCCAGGAGAAGAAAGACAAATGCAGTCACACTCATCCTTCTCTGTTTTCTCTGTTCACACTGCCACCTCTTCCATTGGAACCTGTATTCAGCAGTAGCCAACTGTTAGGCCTTCAGTTGGAGCCACAAATGTAAAAACTTGGACATAAAACAGGAAAAAAATCATCTCTACCATAAAGCTAATTTCTGCTAGCATCCCTAGTGGGATTCTAATATTATGTTAGCACCAAGCTAACAACGATCACGTAAACATTTCGTGGCTGTTCTAGATTAAACACGCACAGATGTGAAAGAGCCCATATTCTACATTTTTCTTCTATTTTATTGTCCCGCTGAGGTCCTTTTATGACATTTGTGTGTTTACTTACCAAAACAGTCATAATTTATTTGTACATGGACATTTTCCAACCTCTCTTTATCCCTTTGAATTGAACAGGCTGTTGGTACTATGCTTTTAAGACTGATATGTAAGGTTATGTAGATGATCTCTGTTTTGATTGGCTGCCCTGTATTGTGCCTCAGTCAAAAAGATGACTTGGAAAAAAGTCTGGTTCCATTGACTTACATTAAAAGTAAAGTATGTTTTTTCCTTCTCCTGTAAAGTTATAATTTTGGAGAGAAGGTTTTGTTCCGACAACAGCGATATATAACTACAGCATGAATGGATTTTTTTTTTTTCATGTAGGCTGTTTTGGTAACTCAATTTCACGTATGTGCTGTGGAGTAAATAATATGTTTTGAAACTTTAGCAGTGTTTATTTGCTATATCAATCAATTTTATTTCAAAAAAGAGTCCAGTGATATGACCCCTTTAACATATTTTACCTTACTGCAGTTTTACAGACTCTTTAGGTATAAAGAGCTCTGTCATGAAATGCTTCGGTCAGTCGACCACTCATATTCACAGCCATTGACATATCTAAAACTTCCAAAAGGCTTGGAATGGCGTTTTCATCACAAAATCAGCCTCATCCATTGTAAATCACAATGTGATTGGTTGATTCCACTGTGACTTCCTGATTATACTGGTAGTTAGTTAGTGTAAGCCTTCAGTTCAGCTCCTGAAGTCCTACCCAATGGGAGAGCTCTCTTGGCTGTATCTATCTAGATACCACAGAGAAGAAAAACCTGATTTGATAATTTTCAGTAGAGCCTGCACTCTCAGCCAGGTGCACTCTCAGCCCTAGTGACGTTACATGCACATGCACTCTCTGCCACAAAGGCAGAAGAGGCCCAACAGCACGTTAACATTTGGCTGCATCTACTTAATGAGTTGAGAGGAATCTTAAAACAGTGTCATCATCATAGTTCTCTTTTCCTATCTCAGTAACCACATCATCAGTTTTTCTGTGTATAATATAGCTAGAGAATTCCCTGTAATTCATTTTTCATGAGTTTCAGCCGTTGCCTGTTTGCTTTTCCTGCTAATAAATCCAAAATAATGTCTTATTGTCATGGTAGGTTTTAAATGACCATATTATTTATTTCCATTATTGTCAGTATGGTAAGTATCCATCAGTAAGCTAAAATCCATTTATGTAACTCATGTAACCCAACAGTAAGTGGTTTGTTGTTTTTGCTCATCAAACAGAGCTGGCAGTGCATGTCAGGCTGAGAGGGGCATGTCTGCAGCCAGACCCTCCTCAGAATTTTCCATAGGACATTTCAAGAATTTAACCCTTTTGTTTCCAACCAAAACTTATCAGTGAAATAAGACTGTTACTTCAGTACTACACTCTTCAAAAAGAAGGTGCTTCAAGGGTTCTTTAGTAAAGAAAACGGTTCTATACATAACCATGAATGCTCAGAGAACCTTTTGCATAATTACAGTGTTCTTTGCATTGTGAAAGGGTTCTTTGGATTAATAAAAATGTACATGAGACAGTTCTATACAGAACCCTTTTTTGATAATTGTTGTATATATCACCCAAAAGGGGGGTTCTATTGTTACAAGCTTGACGCTGTAAAAATAGAAGAACCCTATTTGGGTTCTATATAGAACCATGTGCAGCACATTCTCCATCAATCTGAAGAACGCTTTTATGATGCAAAGATTATGCAAAGATTATGTAAATACAGCAGAGTTTTAAATACAACAAGCGTGATGATTCTGTTAAATATAAACAAGCGAATAATTACAGACGTGTGTTTTTTTTTTTATTTCACAGTGATCATTAAACTTTCTCTGAAGGCCTAGAAGGTCCTGAAGGTCCCCCACTGATGTTCAGGATATATTGACTGTAATCAGTATTAAAAGTATTAAGTGTGTAGTTTAACAGTGTAATCAAACAGTTACTAACACAAATGAAGTTCAGTGAAATTGTGTGAAGTCAGCCTGCTGTGATGGTCCTGTGACAGATCATTCCTATGCATGTAAACCTACATTTACCATGTATTTACATATTTTTTAGGTGATTCCTGACTGGAAAGACCAGGAATGGGAGCCGAACCGGCCTGAGTCGCACGCGGGGATCTTTCACTTTCGCTTCTGGCGTTTTGGAGAGTGGGTGGATGTGGTCATCGATGATCGACTGCCTACTGCCAACGGCAAACTGGTCTACTGCCATTCAAACGACAGTAATGAATTCTGGAGCGCGCTGGTGGAAAAAGCCTACGCCAAGTAAGTTAACCCGTTAAGGGCCCATCAGTTGGTTTAGTTTTTGGAGCCTCTATGAGCCTCAGGATTGTTAACATACAAAAAATAAGTCTTTAGTGGATGTTATCCAAATCCTGAACTTTACTGAGTCTGGACTGACTTATTTAACAAGAAGCAATGCAGACATAATGATTCAGTTACAAAAGACAGGAAAGTCAAATATCTAAGAAGCTTAATGTTAAATTGATCTCATCATTATCATTATGACTGATGGGTGTACCTATAATGTATGTTGCCATTGGATATGTTGAAATTACTCTGATATTAATCATCTTACAAATGTTCGAGTAATTCTGGATTTTGATGAGTTGTGTGTCCAAAAGTATTCAGACGGTATCCAGCCCTTCTAATGAACGCATTCAGCTCCTTTAAGGCATTAAACACACAGCTTGGGTATAAAGCCCCCCAGCCTTGGGCGGTGGTGCATTGGAACTGCATTATCTGGAGTGATGAAGCTCCATCCAGTACATTTAGAATATATTGGGTTCTAGAACTAATCATCCAAAAGCAGTTCCTGACCTCACTAATGCTCTTGTGGCTGAATGCAATCAAATCCTCGCAGCAATGTTCCAACATCTAGTGTAAAGCCTTCCCAGAAGAGTGGAGGCTGTTACCGCAGCAAAGAGAGACAAACTCCCTATTAGTACCCTTCATTTCAGAAGAAACGCTGGGTGAGCAGGTGTCTACAAACTTTTAAATGGTTAAAGAGGGAATCCCACCAATTTTTCAAAATTTCTGCATACTTGAATGGTTGAGATGTATACAAAGTCATTCAGTAAAATCGTTGCATGTAGACTATATTAATTGTAACGGTAAATTGCAGCATTATAGAGCATTTAAGTTTTTAAGTGAACAGTGTTCAGATTTTTTTCCATAATCAACATCAACTACCAGTTGATTTTGTCCTGTAATTGCTGCAGCCTGACTGGGCAGGAGTGCGGTTGAGACCTCTGCTCTAAGATGGTTTCTCTTTGCAGGATGTATGGCTGTTATGAGGCACTGGACGGTGGGAACACGGCGGATGCTCTGGTGGATTTCACAGGAGGCGTGTCGGAGCCCATCGACCTGCTGGAGGGACATTTTGGTCAGGAGGAGGAAGCGCGGAACCAGCTGTTTGAGCGTGTCCTCAAAGTCCACAACAGAGGAGGCCTCATCAGCTGCTCTATCAGAGTGAGTCTAAACACATAAAAATCGATTTTGATATAAAATGCAAATGTCTCAAATGTGAATGTATTGGAATAAACTGCAAAGTATAGAAATTCCAGCAGCCCTGCTGTGTCTGATCCACTCAGACCAGCACAACACACACTAACACACCACCACCACGTCAGTGTTACTGCAGTGCTGAGAATGATCCACCACCCAAATAGTACCTGCTCTGTGAGGGTCCATGGACGTCCTGACCACTGAAGAACAGGGTAAAAGGGGGCAAACAAAGTATCAGAGAAACAGATGGACTACAGTCTGTAACTGTAGAACTACAAAGTGCACCTATATAGTAAGTGGAGCTGATAAAATGGACAATGAGTGTAGAAACAAGGAGGTGGTCATAATGTTATGCCTGATCGGTGTATGTATTGTAGATACATGTGTCAGAAATACTGCATTAGGCTGGTAGAATAACCAAAAGCCTATGTCAAATCTGATAACAGCTGGTGTATATTTATGGATCCAGTCTCGTGCCTTAAAATGTGTTTTTATGTAAATGCTTGTAACTTTTGTATTGTGTGGGTACCGTTCCACAGGCGACCTCTCAGGCAGACATGGAGGCTCGTCTGGACTGTGGTCTGGTCAAAGGTCACGCCTACGCGGTGACGGACGTGCGGAGAGTTCGTCTGGGTCATGGCCTTTTGGCCTTCTTCAAGTCTGAAAAGCTGACCATGATCCGCATGCGGAACCCCTGGGGGCAGCGAGAGTGGAACGGACCGTGGAGTGACAGGTCAGTTGTTTCATTATGGATCAGTAAGTCCTGACAAAAAATCTCATTTGCATCAAATGTTGACCGCAAATGCTGTCAACCAGCCAAAATGTGTTTGTGTTTTACACTGGAGCTGCACATTTATGTGACTAACAAGTAAAGGGAGCCTACACCCCACCAATTAGCATTGTGCTAAATGAAGTAATCACATTCTGCAACAAGTTGTTCAGTGATGTCTAATAGACTTTATTATGTGGTTTCTGGGACTTCACTCTGAGCCATTTGGCAAAATCCTGCCTCACTGTGTGAGACACACTATTATACCTAAACATGGACTGAAGACGGCTGCCACTGCTGTTTTGAGCTGTTGTCCCATTTATAAATAAAATAATGTCATACCGTTTCGGAAACCCCATAAGTAACACTATTAGAGATGTCTTAAGAAATCAGCACAGTTTGAGGCAACTGACCTGTCACTCCACGGTCCGTTTGTGTGTGTGTGTGTGTGTGTGTGTGTGTGTTTGTGTATAAAGGATACAAAAAATGAAGATCAGCTATGTTGTAGTGCACTTCCACAACCTACTGAAAAGTAGTAAACATATATAAAAATCATAAATAAAAATAAATTAGATGAGAAAATTGATGCGTTTGGGCTTTCAGGGAGGGGCAAAAGGGCACGGCTGTAAATGAAAGGTTGCGCTGGATTTATAGCACAAGACAAAATGCGGGCATTACTGCCAGTCAGAATGCGGTGCAATAATCATTTTATCTCTATCTTGTTTTCATAATTGTTGGGAGCCAAAATCATAATTGAAAATACAATTTGCTCAGTCGCCCAGCCCTAATCTGAAGTAAAGGGAAGATTGTGTTTGTCTCTTGCTTTAGTGGTGGGGTTTGGACAGGGTGGGCCCACTAGGCAAAACTTGGTAGATTCATCCCATACCAGCTAATGTAGCACCTCTAGTTTTTCTGAACTCCAGTGAATTGGGGGCTGAAAATGGCCTCACTGTTTTAAGGGTGAGTTTAATTTCAGGGCTGTAAAATCTTCAGCTTTTGACTAAACCTGTCTGTTTATTGTGTATTCATACTGCCACCTGCTGGGTGGAATCTGATGTTTCTTCTTACTGAATCTGACTAGTAAAGCAAAAATTGCCCCTGTAAATGTGAAGCCTGAATGTACAGCTCATGTCTCAGTCACTGTTTCTCACTGAAAGGTGCCTTATTTCTTTCTTTTCTAGTTCAGAGGAGTGGCAGAGGGTCAGTAAGAGTGAAAGGGAGAAGCTGGGGGTCACTGTGGAGGACGATGGGGAATTCTGGTAAAAGTCTGCATGTTTCCTTCTTTTTACTTTTATTGTGCAAGTGAATGTCCTGTAAATAAAGGGATAAACAATTGAATATATACATATGAAGCAGTTATTTGCTAAATATGATGTGCTTAGTAATGCTAAATGTTCTAAATAATGATAAATAACTTGACCATTCCTGTTTGGAAATATGTATCCTAGTCTCCATCATGTTTTCTTTATCTATGTCATTCCCACCCTCCTGTCCTCCTCTTCCTCTCTCAGGATGACATTTGAGGACTTTTCCAAGCACTTCACTGACCTGATCCTGTGCCGGCTCATCAACACATCCTACCTGAGCATCCATAAGACCTGGGAGGAGGCCATGTTGTTTGGGTCTTGGAGTCGCCATGACGACCCACTGAGAAACCGCTCAGGAGGCTGCATTAACAACAAAACCACTTACCTCCAGAACCCACAGGTGTGTGAGTGTGATCGTGGTAGAGCTGCATGTGATATAGTTATTTATCTGTGCGTTTATTCCCAAATTCAATCACTGAAGTTCTTACTTAATGCCTGTAGGTGGCAGCAGCTACAGAAGGCCAGAAAATATCCTATAAGCTTTTGCTACTGCTTTATTTTGAGCATCGTTTCATCATCTGAAACCATGGATATTTAAGCAATAGAACACGAGAGGGAGTGTGTTATTGCGAAATAACATCACGGCTGTGATTTGGTTGGAAGATCATCACAGCAGTGATGTTATTTGCGATGACACACGACCTCGAGTGTTCTATTGCTTTTATTAAATAAATACAGTAATAAATTAATAAACTGGGTCGTGAACGCGGCATTTGATATGTTTTAATGTTCGCAGTTCCTCCACCAAATTATAGTTCCTTAACAAGCAGCTCGTTGCTACGTCAGAGTAACGAGCTCCGCCCACTCGCTGCACAGCCGGCAGTTCGTTCTCCAGCTCCACACAGACCAACTGACAGTTTGGGAATTTAGTGTTGTCTCATCTTCAGAGTCTGACCAAATCGGCTGTCGGTCAAATGTGATCTTAAAAGTGTCCATTTTCTGTTTGTGGCAAAGTAAGAAGTAAAAACATTCAAATGTCTTGAGCGTCTCCTACAGCGGTCAAAGTCGTTGCTTAGCAACGGCGTCTCAGCAGAGTGATACAGTGTTTGTGAAAAACCTGTGATGTTATGGTGAAATCATAGCACGGTTAGAACGCCTCTCAACCAAAAGGCAGGTTTTGAAAACATTAATGCCATCTTTGATGGCATGGTGTGCTCTTGGTCACTCGTGGCTACTTTTAATGCTCTCAGACCAGAGCTTAAGCAGAGGTGTCCACTTTGTCAAACGCACAGCAGCTGCTTTGCAGAATGAGCTGAATCTGTGAGTTACATTGGATTAAGGAGAAATGAGAACTTTATCACTCTGTCACTGTCACTTTTTTGCCCATAAAAAAGGGATCAGTATAAAAACACCGAGGACAACTAAACACTGAAAATGAAATCTACTGTTTGTGATGGTGTTTTCTCACATATACAGAATAAACATTTATCAAGACAATAAACTCTACGTATCGATTTCATGGCTGATAATTTACTGTTAGTCATTCACGTTATTAGCCAAAGTCTCAGTGTAAATAACTTTAAAACTGGAAGTTGAAGTTATTTAAATAACGTGAATCATGTTGGCTATTTAGCACAATGAGTCATACATAATCATGCTACAACATTTTGGTGAAGGAGTAGCATCAGCACTGGTCAAAATGAGTAGAAATTCCATTATTCATATTGCCAGTTAATTCCAATCTTGGCTGACTTGTGTATAAAATTGTCATACATGTGTTATGAACAGTAATAATAATAATAATAATAATAATAATGATAGTAAAAATTATCTTTATTTATAGAGCACTTTTCATGCCAGTGGCAGCTCAAACTGCTTTAGAGACAGGAGATTTAGCTCAACAGTAATACAAGAAATTATGAGTACTAATCTAAAATCATATAAAAAATTGAGAGAGTATAAGATAAAAACCACGAGATGTAGAGTTTTAGTTAAACGCTGAGTTAAAGTGAAACATTTTTAGATGCTTCTTAAAAGTGAGCACTGAGCTCGACTGTCTAATAAAAGGTGAATTGAGCTCCACAGTTTAGAAGTAGAATAACTGAAAGAGTCTCTCCATTTTCTGTATTTTACGGACAGTATTTTCAGAAGGTCAGTATCTGCAGATCTAAGATCACATGCTGGAACATAAACAGACAGACACTCTATGATATGAGCGGTGCTTCAGGGTCATTTAGAGCCTTAAAAACTAGTAGCAGAACTTTAAAATCTATCCTGAACGAAACAGGCAGCCAGTCCGGCTCTTTCTAAATGGGAGTGATCTGATCTCTCTGTTTAGTTTTTGTTCTGCTGCATTTTGTTCGCGTTGTAAAGAATGGATTGTTTTCTTAGGAAGTCCAGTTAGAAGAACATTACAGTGATCAACACTGCTTATAACAAATGCATGAACAAGTTTCTCTGCATCGCTCTGAGATAGAAAAAGCCGACCGTTAGTGATATTTCTCAAATGCTAAAAAGCTGCTTTAGTGACTGTGTTTACATGCGGGATAAAACAATATAGTCATGTAGTGGTCCATTTGGCACAACACAGCCCTAGTGTATATGAAAGAAATGTTTCATTGTCAGTTTTTTGTGTTGATGTTTGTCTTTATGCTTTTCCTCCAGTATGTATTTGATGTGAAAAAGCCGGAGGACGAGGTGTTGATCTGTCTGCAGCAGAAGGACAGGAGAGCTCGTTCTAAAGATGGAAAAGGAGAAAACCTGGCCGTTGGCTTCGACATTCAAAAGGTACTCCCCTCCCTCTCTCTCTCACACATCCACACACACACACACACACACACACACACACACACACACACACACACACACACACACTCTTTGGGATCATGTTAATGTGAACCACACCCAAGTTGTTTATGATAGCAAACAGAATTGTTTGTGTTTACGTGTTACGCTTTTCCCTTCCACTAGGTGGAGCTGAACCGGATTTATCGCATGCACACGAGCCAGCAGAAAATGTGCAGCTCCATCTACATCAACTCCCGCAGTGTGTTCGTGCGCAAAGACATGAAAGAGGGCCGATATGTAATCATCCCCACCACCTTTGACCCCGGCCTGCAAGGAGACTTTCTGCTACGAGTCTTCACAGATGTGCCTTCAGACTGCAAGTAATGCATCACAGAGCACGGTTTGGCCAAAAGCATTCCCCAGTCAAGAACACAAACACAGATGATTAAGCAATAGAAAACGAGAGGGAGTGTGTTATCGCGAAATATACGACCTCGAGTGTTCTATTGATTTATACAACAGTTAAATAAATAAAGTAATAAATATATAAACTGGGCCGTGAACGCGGCGTTTAATATGTTTTAATGTTCGCAGTTCCTTCACCAAATTATAGTTCCTTAACAAGCAGCTCGTTGCTGCGTCAGAGTAACGAACTCCGCTCACTCACTGCTCAGCCGGCAGTTCGTTCTCCAGCTCCTTACACTAAACTCCCAAACTGTCATCACCACTGAGCAGCTTTTTTTTTTTTATTGCCGCAGTTTTATGGCTCTAGATCAGATTACACGTTTGGCGAATGGTATTGGGTTCATTTCTGGCTGATTCCAGGTTGTTTAGCTGTTCTTCTGTCACAGCTGCCGACTGAAAAGCTGCTCAGTGGTGATGACAGTTTGGGAATTTAGTGTCGTCTCATCTTCAGAGTCTGACCAAATCGGCTGTCGGTCAAATGTGATCTTAAAAGTGTCCATTTTCTGTTTGTGGCAAAGTAAGAAGTAAAAACATTCAAATGGCTTGAGCGTCTCCTACAGCTGTCAAAGTCGTTGCTTAGCAACGGCATCTCAGCAGAGTGATACAGTGTTTGTGAAAAACCTGCGATGTTATGGCAAAATATCAGCACGATTAGAACGCTTCTCAACCAATCAGCTTGCGTGGCCGGAACTAACGATAGTATCGATACCAACGTTGGTATTGGTATTGGATTGATACTAGCGTGATAGGATCGATACTTTTCTCCTCTACGTTCAGTACGTTGCTCTCGTTTCATCAAAAAGGAGACATGTCTGTGCAAACACAGCTCCTTTCACATCTTGCGTGCTGATCAAACATATGAAAAATTATGAAAAAGTGAATTCCGAGCTGCAAAAGAAAGGAAGAAAGGAGGAGAGAAATCCCTCAGACAGACCTAGACCCCTGGCACAGAGGCAGAGGTCACTGGCTGAGTCCTTTAAGAGAGGCAAAAAATGACCAGGTAGCTTATATAATGGTGAAAGTAATATTTATTCATGTTCAGAGATGAAAGTAGTTTTACATTCTTGCTGGTGTGGCTGAATATAATAGCCCTTTTGTGTTAACTGTGAAAGGGACACTATAGGATTCTTATATTTAAGCTACATGTAGTAAGAAGCTTTTATAAGATAAAAAGTATCGGTATCAGTATCAGTGTTTTCTGGCTCTGTATTTACTTGGTATTGGATCGATACCAAAGTTTGCAGTATCGCACACCACTGGTTTTTGAGACCCATAATGTATCTCAATAAATACCTTTTCAGCTTTATTGTATTTACATTTATTGTGCTCCACCCAACAAAACACACAAAACAATGAAGCTGATAAGGTAAAACATTAAATATGTTGTCTTTTGTTTTGTTTTTGTTCAAATACAGGTAGATTTATGAACCACTGCTTTCTGTTTTTATTTGCATTTTACTTTCTGTTCCAACTTTTTTGGAACTGGATTTGTAGTTCAGGACGTTTCTGGCCTAATTTCTGGGAAGAGATAAATGTGTGTGTTTGTGTCTCAGAGAACTGACCACGGATGAGCCTCCGCAGACGTGCTGGACGGGGCTGTGTGGGTATCCACAGCTGGTCACACAGGTGCATGTGATGAAGGCTGTGGGGCTGCAGGGTCAGGACTCGGATGGATGTAGGTTTTTTTGTCTTTTTTTCCTGCGCTGTCTGTTTAGAAAGTTTATCAGATGTCTGTGACTCACTGTACTCTCTTCGCAGCGTCTGACCCGTATGTTATCATCAGCTGTGAAGGGGAGAAAGTGCGGTCCCCCGTCCACAAAAGCACCCTGAGTCCGGACTTCGATGTGAAGGCGTTGTTCTACAGAAAGAAACCCAAACAGGGCATCCTCATTGAGGTATGGGGAACATCTGTGTGGATCCAAACCAAACACGCTCAAAAAAATGCATTCTCTGCTCCTAAAATGAACAAGCGTGGGCTTGCAGAAGGAGAAACAACAGCACTTTCATCTTTATCCCATTAAGGGTTTAATAGAAGCGAGCCATATGGATGCATTTAGGTGTTTTGAATTTATAGCATTTGCTCGGACTCATAAAGTACATAAAGGTTTTTAGCTCTAAGCCATTTGCTGAGAAAAAACAGTCTTTCTTCTCTTTCTTTACCACCTTTTACTTCTAGGGCTGAGGTCAAAACCACCTTTGTAGAGTCCAAGACTGTGACTAGTCAAGACTGAGTCCAGATGTACATGAAACTAACGAGTGAATTCCACTCATTTTTTAAAAAATAGTTCTACATACTTCAATCACTGGGATGTAAACAAAGTCATTCAGAGAGGTTTGATGTGAAATCTTTCACTAGAGAAATTTACAGACAGGTTTCTTTACAGTGGGGGTGATAGGAACCAGGGGTCACCATGTCTACAACACAAATGCAGCCATTTTATTTACTATCCAAAACCAGCAGTGAACCCACACAAGTCTTCTGAGTTTTTGTATGGATGTTGATGATGGTAAAATAGTGATAAATCTGAAAAAATAAGTTTCTTTAGGGACTGTTTTGACTTAAAACACCCTGCACGACCCTCTCCGCCATGAATAATTTCTAAAAAAATACTTTCTGTGAGGGAGCTTAAAGAGGCGTTAAACTCTTCAGATGTCTGGTTCCTGTCACCACCACTGTGAACAATTCTGACTTGGTAGGTTTCTCTAGAATGAAGCATTTCACACCAAACCACACTGAATGGCTTTGTTTACACCTTAAAGACTTAATGGCAAAAAATTAAAAAAATTGATAAAATTTCTCTGTTATTTCAGATTTTTTGACAAAGTGATCTATACACCTACAGATTCACTCAGGACAACAGAATAAGGGCGTAAAATTTTAGATTAGTTTCATTTAGCTAGACTGTTTAAATGAAATAACACAATTACATAAACAATAAATTACATAGTTATATAAGGAATAACATTTGGGTTCAGTTTATTTTCTGTATCGACAGGTTTGAGCCTTCTTCTTTTTGTTTGTTTTGATGTCCAGGGCATTGGCGATTTGATTGAATTCAAACTGAAGTGTAATTAAACAAGCCGATATCAGTAATGTTTTGGGTGTGATAATGCGTTTGATAGAATATACAGTGGGGTCCAAAAGTCTGAGACCACATTAGAAAATATGGGATTGTAGTATTTTGAAAATATAGGGAAAAAAAGGAAATTTTATGACAATTAAAATGAAGAAGAAATTTTAAAAATTTTAGCAATTCTAGTCAAATTTCTTGTGAAATTGACCATGCTGAGGCCTTTGCACAAATAGGTCAGTTTTTTGAGTCTTCTCTTTCATTGATGCTCGTGTTCAGACGACTCTCGGGTGGATTTGATCTACTGATCAAAGACTTTTACACAAACATACAAGGTCCATGCTGTCATTAAAGCCAGAGGACAAACATACTGAGAAATTCAAAAATTTATGTTAGAATTTCAAAGATTCTACTTTTCATGCAGATTATGGTGCTGAAAATAGAGGTCATTGAATTAAAAAGGAAGGCAAAATAGAAGCATTTTCACTAGATATCTCAGACTTTTGGACCCCACTGTAAGTGAAGGACAGGTCAGGCTTTTATGCTAAGACAGGCTAAATTTAAAATGGGTAGCCTAAGTAACAGAGCGCTTGTATCCCTGCCTAACCTCTGACCAATCAAAGAACACAAAGAACACCCACATGTATAATTCGGTGCACTTCAACCATTGCAGTGGGAAACTAACCAAACTAGATGAAAACAGTACAGTGCAACAAAAACTCAAACTCTGATCTGGACTAGGTGTGAAAGCAGTCTTGGACTCTGTCCTTCTCTTTTTGGTCTAAAATAAAACACTAAAGCTCCTAAATGAGACGTGTGAGCAAACGTTTTGTGGCCTAGTCACACAACAGAATCAAATTAAACCTGAAAGTGGAACTGAATGTGAATGTGAAGTAAAAGAAACAGAGGAAAGAAGATGAGTTTCCTGACAAATACGCTTTAGAATAAATTAAAAAATACTGAGTGTAACACGTAACTAAGTAAATTTACTACCCAGCTCTGGTTCTGCCTGCGGAATCATTTTCCAGAAGGGAGGCTTCTTCATTCTTTTGTCACTCCTTCTTCTGTTTTTCACTTTGCAGATCTACAACAAGAACGTCCTGAACGACTCATTTATGGGTCAGATCCGTCTGAGCGGTGACCTGTCGGACCTGCAGCAGCACCACACTGTCCACCTGCGGGGCAAAGGCAGCCGGCAGGGCAGCGACCTCCCGGGCATGCTCAGCGTGAGCGTCATCACCAGCAACGCCCTGACCAACATCTGAGACCCGTCAGGCCGGCCCAAACCGGACCATCACCATGGCGATCATGTGTCATGCACACCTGTGGTAACTCGGAGCACTTTCGTGCGTTGAGGTGTAGTGTAGATACCTGAATACTTCAAACAGCTTCTTCTGGCTACTTCTGTCTAAAGTACCTCAGTGGCCTTTTTAGCTCATTTACAAAATTATTATATTAATAATTGACTTTTAGTGGAATATTTCGGTCAAAAAAAGCTGATGTTGCTAGCAAATGAATGAAAGTGAATAGCCACACACATTCGCACTTGTCTGTGGCTACTAGCTTCCATTTGTTGTTAGCAGTGTTAGTTTGTTTGGTCAAGCTCTTCCTTTAATGAGTCTCGTTTACATCTACTCCTGGACCAAAAACTTCGTCTTTCAGCTGTTTATTTCAGATGTTATATTTTCTAATTTCAAGCGCTTGATTGAAAACGATGCTACTTTGCAGTTCTCTAAATGTTGGGAATTGTGTGCGATTACCGTGTTGCCTTTCATTTGCCAACCAACCATCCAAAGTCATTAAGTGCTGGACAGTCATTAAACTTGTTTACACAATACGATTAGTACTCAGGACATGTAGGTACTCAGTATATAGATAACTCAGCATTGCAGGGAATTACTGTAGTCTGTGTTCAGCATATCCAAATGTTCTCCAGGCTAAATTACACCTGGACTTATTCTGTGAACCAGACAGCCAATCGGATTGCTGGAATCAGGTTCAGAAGTGCCTGAATAAAAGGGGAATTCCACCAATCTTCCAAAATTTCTGCCTCAGTTGTTGAGCCATTCAGAGTGATTCGATAGGAAATGGTTTATTGTAGAGAAGCTTGTTGGTGGTGAATGAAACCAGAACTCACAATGTCTGCAACACAAATATAGCCATTTTATTTACTATCTAAAACCACCAGTGAATCTGCATGTTTTTCTGAGCTTTACATCGTCATTGTGCCAAAAAAGTATCTCCAATGGTGACTTAACAGGAGCAGACTAAAAACGTTCTTAACTTTTAATGTATGTTATTGTAATGAGATTTTTTCCAAGCAACTGGGCCACTTCTATTGGTCCATTTTTCGAAAATTATCAAATGATGTAAAGAGCAGCTGCTCTGCTCAAATGATGCCGAAAAATCTAAATCAACAGCAATGATATATACTGTTAATAAGACTGAAATAGTGGTAAATTTGAAAAAAGGTTTTGCCTTTTGTCTTACAGTACCCTGCATGTACCTCTCCACCATGAATGGCATTGAAAAAATAAGTTTTAAGCCCAAATCTTATCTCAATACTACTGAAAAACTGTCTCGGGCATCAGGCTGCATATTCATAACCATTTCATGTAATAACTTTCTGTGAGGGAGCTTTTAAGAGGACATCTGGTTCCTATCACCACCACTGTGAACAATTCTGAGCCGGTAAGTTTCTCTAGAACAGAGCATTTCACACCAAACCGCTCTGAATGACTCTGTTTACATCTTAACCATTTTTATTATGAAACAAAATTTGTAAAAAATTGGTGGACTTCCCCTTTAAAAGGTTAAGTGAAAGTTCATGCTGGGCTTCACACTGCTCCAAAGCCTATAAACTAATGTATACAGTTTACGCTGAATCAGAAGTGCCAACATAAGCAGGAGGTACCACTATAATGTAATAACCAAAGATGACCACTTGGTGGCAGCATATAATCAAAGTTAAAAGAGTACTATTTCTACTATGGGAGAAGGTTTTATTCTAATGAAGTCTTGTGTGTTTACTTTTTTTGTTTACTCTGTTGTCTTAATAAAGTGAAATGTCTTCTGATATAAAATATACTCTTTAAGCACTACGTATGTTTTTTAGAAGTACTTTATTATATATTTTATACATCTGTAGTTATATGTAAATTTCTTCTGCCAAATGAGAATGTTCCTGTTTAAGAGACTTCATGATGTTGACACAAACATTTCACTGGAGATATGAGACAATCTGTTTACTGTCCTGCTATGACTAAATTACCAAATAATTAAAGAGCTTGTGTTTTTGTTTTTTAATGATGTACTGTGCCTGCTCTTGGACTGGAAGTGGACAGGAGAGTAAGAATAAAGCTGAATGAGATTAGGCTGTAATATCTGCATGTTTAAGTGTTTACCAAAGAAGTGCCTCGTTTATGTCCTACTTCATCTCTGTCACTTTACTCTCTTTCTTTCATTGTCTCACCATCGTTTACTTGTTCTCGTTTACTTGTTCTCATTTACTCTTTCTGTTGTTTATGTTGTCTCTTTTGTTTACTCCATCTCTCATTTACTCTGTCTCTAGTTTATTCTCTCTAGTTTACTTATTCTCGTTTACTCTTTTTCTCGTTTACTCTGTTTTTTGTTTACTTTTTCTTTTTTTACTCTCTTTTTCTTTTGTATTATAAGGCTTTTTCAGTGAACTCATTTTTTCTGCAAGTTTGGACAATTTCTTGTCAAAGTTGTAAAAGTTTGTAAATTGACAAGACTTAATGTCTTAAACAGCGTTAAATCTGAAAACCCTCTACTTATAATATTCTGTTTGTAACACAATGCCAAACTTTTTTTAAGCTGAATGTTTGTAGGCAAGCAGAGGATGAGGTGTAACATGTATCCCCATTGCCAGTTTTATATTTGTGTATCCAGTAAAGTGAAATCTGAAATAAAGTTAACTGAATTAATGCATTTGCAGGGCAGTTTTGTGTTGCTCATATGTAGACTTTTACTCTTTAATACCTTTATTGCCCATTTCATCAGCTCCACTGACCATATAGGAGCACCTCATAGTTCTACAGTTACAGACTGTAGTCCATCTGTTTCTCTGCATACTTTGTTCACCCTGTTCTTCAGTGATCAGGACCCCCACAGGACCACCACAGAGCAGGCACTATTTGGGTGGTGGATCATTCTCAGCACTGTTGTGACACTGACGTGGTGGTAGTGTGTTGGTGTGTGTTGCACTGGTACGAGTGGATCAGACACAGCAGATACTTATATGGTAAAATGGACAAGGAGTGTAGAAACAGTTGTACCTAATAAAGTGCTCAGGGAGTGTGTGTGATTTTTATCACACAGATATATATATATCCTTTTTGCCAATCATTAAACACACAATTTTATATATACACCGATCAGGAATAACATTATGACCTTATGACCACCTCACAGAGCAGGTGCTATTTGGGTGGTGGATCATTCTCAGCACTGCAGTGGTGGTAGTGTGTTAGCATGTGTTGTGCTGGTGCGAGTTGATCAGACACAGCAGTGCTGCTGGAGTTTTTAAACACTGTGTCCACTCACTGTCCACTCTATTAGACACTCCTACTCGGTCCAGCTTGTAGATGTAAAGTCAGAGACGATAGCTCATTTTTGTAAATATGTCTACTCTCCCCCGACAGTGGTACTGCGTAGTCTCTAGAGTAAGATTTTCTGCTTTAAGGACCAGGAAACCCCCTTCTGATAATGTGTCTTGAAGGTGGGAGGAGTGTTTGGAAGAAATACATCTGCTTTGAGCAAATTTTTGGGTTTGGATGTTTTTAAAATGCAGAAGGAAATTCAGTAAGCTAACTTTACTGCCCAGACGCAGAACAGCTTTTTGGAGCCGTAACTGTGTTAACTGTTTTCACATCATTACAACTAAGCTAATAGATTGATCACACGAAAGAAATGGCTCATCAGATGAAGATCACAAGTTAAAGCCAAAGTTAGTAAGTTTAAAACAAGTTGGCTTCATTTCTGTGGCTGAAAAAAGTTCAAGATTGGTTGAAACGTTGTGCTGAATAAAGGTAGAGTAGCTGAGAGTTACACTAACGCTAGCTTGGTTGTATTTGTTAAACTGTAGATCAGTGGCTAGGCTAGCAGTCAGGATTGGGTAACACCACTGGGACTAATGGTGTATTGCATGCTGGGTATTGTAGTGAGAGAACTGCATAACACTACAAATAACATATTATACTCTAGTTTTAGGCCAGAATATCCCTTTAATGATCTAAGCTACTTCTTCAGTATTGAAGTAGCTCTTGATCTACACACCTGCTTGATAACTTTGTATATTTTTTCATTAATTGTAATCAATCAAATCATTGAATACCTGTATACGAATACCATCGGTGGTGTGGGGAGCAGGGAATGTGAGTGTGGATGAACAGAAACGCCTAAATGCTGCTGTAAAAGTCAGTGGCGTGTGAGTAAGTAAGGATATTGAATGCCGTCTCTTGCTGAATGGAAGTCGTGACCTTTTTCCACAGCTCCACAACCACTAGTGGATAAAAAAGGGCCCACTGAGAGCGATGGGTGTGTAGTGTATGCTTATCTGTGTGTTTTCTTAAAAAAATGATAATGACAGTAGAATGCATAGGAGATGTTCGATTAATAAGAGAAACTGTCAGGAAATAAAGGATAAAAAGGATAAACTATTAAAAATATTACTTTATTAGTACATTTATCATTTCTGGTTTTAGCATTAAGCAGAAAACACTTTTTTTTTGGGGGGGGGTTAGAAAACCAGCCTTGTGACCAGAAGATCGCTGGTTTGATCCCCTGAGCCGACAGTACATGACTGAAGTGCCCTTGAGCAAGACAGCTAACCCCCAACTGCCACCCGAATGGGGCTGGATAGCACTGCCCACCGTATGTGGTGTTTCACTGGACAGATGGGTTAAAAAGCAGAGGTGAAATTTCCCCGTTGTGAGACTAATAAGGGTCACTGAACTTTTTATAGCGTGGCATCTGCCATTGGCTTCGTGCTGCATAAAGAGCTTAGAGGGACTGGCCATGCTCCCGTCTAAAAAAAGGACTGTTGTTGTGGTTGCTACTAGTGAAGTAGTTGTTGTTTGTTATGTGTGCGAGTTTGTCCACCCTCCACATGTGTCCAAAGTTCAGTCTTAGAAATTGGTTTAGCATTTTCTGCTTTTCATGATCTAAGTAATGAACACATTCAGTGGTGTTGAGGTCTGGACTGGGGTGGTCAGTCCATTGTTCAGCTTCTTTGTTTGATGTGTCCGTCTCCTTTTCTCAGTGAGGTTCTTCTTGACAGCTACACATCCTTTCAGACCCACAGCGCTGAGTCATCTTCTCACAGTGGAAGGATGGACAGAAACACCTGTGGATGTTTTCAGATCTGAAGCAGCTTGATTTTCTCCTCTCTCTCAAAGATGAAAGCTTTAAGTGCTGTTTATCTGATGGGGGCAGTTTTGGTGTCTAACAGGTCTTCCAGGTGGTTGTTAGGAGTGTCATTTCCTCTGTAGCTGTAATTTTTTTTGAACTCCAGTTTTGGAAAATCCTGTTTTTTCCACTTATTTTCCTTAGACTCTCTCCTAATGCAAGTATATAATCATACACCAATCAGGCATAACATTATGACCACCTCCTTGTTTCTATGCTCATTGTCCATTTTATCAGCTCCACTTACTATATAGGTGCACTTTGTACTTCTACAGTTACAGACTGTAGTCTGTAATTGTAGAGACCTGAGTGTCACTGCTGGACTGAGAATAGTCCACCAACCAAAAATATTCAGCCAACAGTGTCCTGTGGGCAGCGTCCTGTGACCACTGATGAAGGACTAGAGGATGACCAACACAAACTGTGCAGCAGCAGATGAGCTATCGTCTCTGACTTTACATCTACAAGGAGGACTGACAAGGTAGGAGTGTCTAATAGAGTGGACAGTGAGTGGACACAGTGTTTAAAAACTCCATTGGCACTGCTGTGTCTGATCCACTCATACCAGCACAACACACACTAACACACCACCACCACATCAGTGTTACTGCGGTGCTGAGAATGATCCACCACCCAAATAGTACCTGCTCCGTGAGGGTCCATGGGGGTCCTGACCACTGAAGAACAGGGTAAAAGGGGGCTAACAAAGCATGCAGAGAAACAGATGGACTACAGTCTGTAAGTGTAGAACTACAAAGTGCCCCTGTATAGTAAGTGGACAATGATCGTAGAAACAAGGATGATCAGTGTATTCTAATCTTATCAGAAATGAATAACTTGTACTTAATAACTGTTTTGACTGTAAATTAAATGAAGGGTGGTGTCTGACTTTTGCACAATCTTGTATATGTAGAATAAACATGAAGAATTGATTATGTTTAATGTGATGTTCATCTGCTGTGTTGTTGTCATAGTGTGTACCTGCAGTGTGAGTATCTGTGAGCAGTTGACAGGAGGGGGTGGGGTTTGGGGGGGTCGGCTTACGTCCCATATTGCTCAGCACCCCCCACTGAGTCCTCCCTCCCTCCTCTGAGAGGGATCAGGGCTGTGAATGAGTATAACTGCGTGTCATGCCACTGTTAATTCGTCCACAGTGGAAGAGCAGCAGGTTCCTCAGCCAGCATCCCTTCAGACACCGAGACGTAAGGACGGAGCGGAAGATTCTTTTCATTCTCTTGCAGTCATCCACACCTGACTCTCTCCGTTCACCTGTGTGGATTTCTACCTGTTCTCGGTTCACCTGGACGGAGCAGATTCTTCCTGAACTGCGGGCGGTAGGTGCTACAGCTTACAGTGCTTTCTCAGGCTTAAATCTGCTTACTGACAGAGCACACCAACCCCTCCTCCACTTCAACACAGCCGGTTCTATGGCAGTGTCCTTGTTGTTTTAACATTTTGCAGGGATGAGAAAGTAGAAAAGGAATAACGACACACATGTTTACTTCTGATTTGATTTTTAATAAATTATATGTTAAAAATGTCTCAATTATACAGAGATCTCCAATTATAAACTCTACAGATTGGTTTGATCACAAACTACACTGCCTAAAAGGAGTCTACACATAAGAAGAACCACTTTTAGTTCCCTGAAGAACCTTTCAGTAGAACCATTTTTTGTAACTGAAGTGTAAATTTGAAAAAACCTTTTTGAAGTTGGACGAATCTCCACATGACGTAATGGTTCTAGGAAGAACCAGTAAATTGGTACAGAACCTTTATAGCCCCTTCAAACCTTTATATAGTTCTTTACACTCCTTTGTAGGTTCTTTGGGGATCTAATATGGTTGTACTGTGTGCAAAGAACCCTTTCTGGTTTTGTTTTTTAAGAGTGTAGCATCTCCAAAATAGTGAATTAACCAAACTAAAGAGGTCTTTGACTGATGCCATAGAAGAACCACGTTTGGTTCCCCGAAAGAACCTTTCAGTAGAACCATATTCTGGCAAATGAAGTGTATATTTGAAAAACTTCTTTGAAGTTGAACGAATGTCCACATAATGTAAAGGTTTTAGGGAGAACCCCTAAATTGGTGTAGAACCCTTATAGGTCCTTCAAACCTTTTATATGGTTCTTCACACTCACAATTCTCCTTTGTCGGTTCTCTGGGAATCTGAGGGGTTCTTCTGTGTGCAAAGAACCCTTTCTGGGTTTGTTTTTTAATCCTTTAATGTTCTGCTCAACCATTTGGTAGAGCACATTTTGGGTCACTTTATATGCCACAAAGTGCCATCTCGACCGTTTGGAAGATGTGAACATTTTGAAAATTGTGGGGTCAAAAAAAAAAACATCAATTTTTTTTATTATTGCCCCGAACAAATAAAAAATACAAAAAATAAAATTACATTGCTTTTTTCTTGGTGAGGACATTAAAGGGTTAAGAGTGTAGCATCTCCTTGTGCAAAATAGTGAAATTTACTACACTAAAGGGGTCTTTGAGTGATGCCATAGAAGAACCACTTT